CCAATCCCGAAATCGCTTACTCGGAAAACACCGGCAATGTACTTGTAACTCCTAAATGCGGATGTCCTGGGCGGTTCGAGAAAAATTCAATAATTTTGCTAAACAGAATACGAAGGCAAAGATCGATAAAGTATGAACCGATAAAAAATCATACCAGCCTAACATATCAGTTTGCTTGACTATGTTATAATGTCGACATTTATTTTATTTTATTAATATATTTTATTTTATAAACTCATTCTAATCTGGAAATCCGGACACAGATTAATGTTAATAATACAAATAATTAAATTTTACGCGATTCAATTCTACAGGCAAATATAAAACAAAGAGACAGTTGCGTATTTTTTAAATCAACTTGCGAATATTTTTTTTCAACTAGATTATTAACAGATGCTTTCTTGCAGGTCATAAAAATGCTGGTGCTGGTGGTAGCACTCTTCGCTTTGTGCTGGTTGCCGCTACAGAGCTATTTATTACTACAATCGTTCTTCCCATCGATAAATGAGTAAGTACACTTTGTATAGAATACATTTATTACCTACTATCCAAATCCTTAATTTTTACACACATCGTCGTCGTTCATCACAGATTATCATATTAAAAATCCTAACACAAAATTTTCCGTACAATAACGTCCTTATTTTTCGGCCAGGTTTTTCTTTAGTTTACGTCTAAATCATTGAGTCAGGTTTTGTATTTTATTCTCACCTACCTTCAATTTAAAATTCAAAGACTGACTCGAACCATTGAGTCTTTGAATTTCAAGGGGGAAAATAGTTTGAAATAAATACTATATGTGTCTAGACAGAATTTCTTAAATTGTACAGTAGTTCAGGTATTAGCTTTTAAAATTATGGTGATGAAAAAATGACGAGAACTATGAAGGTTGTTTTTTTCGTCTATACGTTGAACTAGCAATCCACCGTCATTAGACTACATTCAAAATAATTGCGTAGCAATAGCGTTCGTCTGCCTAAGTAATAACTCAAATTATTTCGTAGCTTTATCATTAAAATCGATAACGTTCCGATAGGATTTATTCACGAAAACAATGAGGTAGGTACTCTATATATTTCCATCGGAGATTTCCTTAAATGAATTTTATTATCTGTCTGAGTAAGAATATCAACTCCAATTTTGTACCACAGCAACATAAATATAATATTCGAGTAATAAAATATACCAAGAAAAAGGAGGAAAGTTTCACGGAGTAGATTCAGTTCCGTATTATTTACTCGACATTCGGAGATGGATGAAGTTGTCAGCAAATAAGACAAATACAAACAGATTATTAACTTTATAAGAATAAGTTCACCGTTAATTCAAATTTTGCTTTGCAATGAATGGAATGTTTTGTTGTTTGAAACCATGGAGGGATTTACACTTTGAATAACATTATTTTCCATTAAATACCATGAAGATTATATATTCGTGGGGGTATTAGCAAATTCTACGAATACATCCTATTCCTTTGTTTCTTTTCACTGTTTTACTTTAACATGAAAAACGGTAAATTAATTTCAATACACTAAATAACTAATCAATCCTTATCTTACAATTGTCAATTTCATAAACTATAAGCGAACAAAACATGTTCGTTATAAATAGTACGATAATATAACAAAGACATGGGGGCATATAGCAGCAATTTACTATAAAATTTTTCTAAGTACAATCTACTTAGAAAAACCAAAACATCACCGTTTTGAAAATATAACCTATTTGCATCGAGACCTGCATCTTAGCCACCCTTTTGTGATTAATTTGTGATAAATTATATCTAATTATATATTACATTAAATGTTAAAAGAATACGGCTATACATACATGGTTTAATTAAATAATAGATAATGACATAGAGTATACATACTGTTCTGGGCTTGGGAGTATTGTAATGACGTCAGCATTAGCATGTTACCTGCGGCTTAATTAAAACGCGCCACTATTAGTTGTTATTCTATTCTATGCACTTCATAACCTAGTGACATTAACTAGAACATCTACATATATATAAAAGAAAGTAGAGTAGGGTAGGTAGAGTAGGGTAGGTAGAGTAGGGTAGGAAGGGTAGGTAGAGTAGGGTAGGTAATAAAATGACGGAAACGACGCCGCGGGTAAGAGTTAGTTTTATATAAGGTAAAGGATGGTTTAAAATTAGAACAGCCAGTACATGTTTAAGCGTGGAAAAGAAAAGCTTTGGTACTAATGGGTCGGCTCGACCGGAGGCCCAATCTCTCCCTCTCTCCCCATGTCTTTCCAATCCCTAAATATCAGAAACCAAAAGACCGTCAACGCTCTCGTAACTTCTTTGGTGTTGCGGATGTCTATGAGCGGCGACGATTGCTTACCATCAGGTAATCCGCCTGCTTGTTTGCCAACATATCTTATAAAAAAACTACTAAAACACAATCATCTAACAGAAAAGACTGCATTAAATACCAACCTTGATCATATTGTTCTCAGAAACGAAATAAATTGACAAGATTTTTTTCTTTTCAGGTACAAGTACATCAATGTGCTATTCTTTTGCTTCGACTGGTTAGCAATGAGTAACTCTTGCTATAATCCGTTCATCTACGCCATTTACAATGTAAGTAGAATTAATTCGAAGTAAAAATGTGTTCTATTATTTATAAAAAACTGACTCTTATTTACACAAAACTCGTTTTAATACCAATCAAGCAATCAAAACCACACAATCGTCGAAAACCATCACAATTTTTTTGTTAATATTCCATTATTGCTAAGGCCGCTATTTACTTTTACGATACTAAAAGTTTTTCGTTATCGTTTTATGGAATCAGCAGTTATAGTTTGGAAACATTAATGTTCACCCTTTTGGAATAGCACGCAATAACCGTGTTATGTTTGAACCACTGATTTTCCTTAGATACTGCGTCACTTTCTTTTCTCTCTCAAATAGATTCATCATACATGTACAGCGGTGTCCGACGCTGGGTTTTATAGGCTTTTTGAGCCGGGCCGCACACTGCCCTTTCAGCTTTATTCTATAAGATTTCCCTAAAGAGACCTTCACCAGGAAGGGCGGAAAATTGTTTCTCTATATCATACCAAAAACTCAAATTTATCTCACCAAAATTTATTCGTGATGAATTTATTTATAAAAATGAACCTTTTTATTCACATTTTACGTAAAACAATTAAAACTCAATTATATTTATTGCAGGAAAAGTTCAAAAAGGAATTCAAGCAACGCTTCACGTTCGGGAAAAAGCCTAGTAGATTCGTTAACGATAGCTACGAGGTAAGGTATTCCATATTTTATTAAGTAGGTAGTAATGTTTTTAATATTTACGAAATGTATTTATTTATTGTAGGACGGGCAGTCATACAGAACGCGGATATTATCATTCCGGTCAACAAACGAGAGAAGTGGATATTCAACAAGAAAATCAATTAATTTAGCTCCCACTGACACTTTAAAGGTTCCGTCTAGAAACTCATGTCACTGTATGAGTACTCAGAATAGAGAAAATGGATTTAATTTTATGAAAACAGAAGACATGGAAGGACATGGAAATAGTAGAAGGTATTTAAATATACGAATGAGCAGCACAGATATTGGTAAAAGAAGGTTAGCGAAAAAGCTTTCTGGTAGAGACGAAATGCCGATCGGCGACGAAAGGGTCAGTGAACTGTATATATTCCCAAACAGTAACATTGTAGAATTCACAGACATATCATACGACGACAAAGTGTAAATACGTTGAAATTCCATTACGTTTAGTATTAAATATTAATCGAACATGTGATGTGATAGAATTATTAATAAATTTAAACTATGACTGTACGTTAACGAAGTAAAGAATAATAATTTTAAGTCCAATTTTGTTGTTTCCTTTACCCATTTTGAGTGACTATAGCAACTGGTTTACTTAAATCAACAACAGCCAACAGAACTACCAAAGGAGCAGTTGGATGGATATGGACAAGGCACATAAATAATTTTCGTAAATTTATTGGTTAACTTACAACAACGTATTGCCATTGAATAATAAGCAGTTAACGTGCAATAAAGGTATTAATTAAACACCCACCATGACTACAACCTAAAGTTCCATTCGTTATGTGGGATTTGAGAAAGACTATAGCAATTCAAACTAGTAACAAGCTTGTGAGCAAACAAGAAACCCTTATAATTTCATCATGCCTTAACTTGCGCCAACCTTATACAAGAGCTTCAAAGTTGTTTTCTGAGAATTGACGTTCATAGAGACACGTATGAAAGCGGTACCTTTCTACATGTTTGAACTCCCATTCAGTTTTCAGTGAACAATTCAATAATTGATGTCCGATAGATATTGGACAGTATTTTCAATAAAATTATTATTTTAATGTATTGTTTACACAATTCCAGATTCTGTATTATACCTGGAAACCACTAAGTTTGTAATTGGATTGCAATTTCAAACGTTATCGTAGTTAAAATAGGTAACACAAGCGACAAGTACTATCACACAATTAAATATCAAATAGAAATATCCACGTATTGTATTAAACTTTACAAATAATTACCTAATTTACGGCAATTAATGCTTATAGCGTTTCCCTGAGGATTCAGTTATTTTTTCTGGGTATAAACTCGCAATCGTCCAACACATGACATAATAATTCCAGCTATCACTCATTTTCCACAAAACTTATTTTTACAGTTTCATTCACCAATAAAACGGAATCACGTGGATGTTTCTGTGTGTGGCATATTTAGCTATAGTTTATAAACAAACACTTTTTTAACACGAGACTTCTAAGAACTAACAGTAGTAAAAATTCCATTCGTTGTACGCAGTGGAAATAAACTTCGGAAGCACGAGCTCCACAAACAAAGAAACCAAGATAAAGATGTAAAACTTTAATACAAGGATAATACAAGACAATAATCAACACATTTTTCTAGGATTTTACGTGTAAAAAACAGAATGATTGGTAAAAGACTAAACGATTATTTACAGAACAACTGAGATTAATACAAAATTTCACTCGTCGAAAATGCAAGTTTTTAGTAGGATTGATATAACCCTGTATGGATCTGCGTTGGCTGCAGGGCGTCGATCTTCGAAATATCCTTTCTTATCTTCAGAAACTTGGCGTGGTATCCGCACGGAACAAGCCCTGTTAGCCACACCTGCAACCAATATTACTTAAACTAATTACTACAGAACTTGCGCCTACGAACATTTGAACAACTATGACGCATGTTTGAGTGAAAACAGTGTAATTTCGGATTCTAGTTGAAGCCGGTGTGATGCCTTGATGATTAAATTAGTGTAAAAATACTATTGACTTCATAAAGTAAGTATTCAATTGAATAACTTGGTGATTAAGTTAATTTGTGTGACCAATGCATGGTCAAGTAGAATTGGTCAATAAAAATACGCCAGCCTATACTTGCGGCGGTGACCTCTCGTGCCCGGCCTTAATCGAGACCATGGTGCATAGCGAGAAAAACTGAGAAGCCATCTCCTCTTTCTGTGAAGCAGTTATGCTCGCAAGGAAGGAGGAGCGCGTGAAGGATTTTTCCTCCTTCTCACGCCCCAGCCGCCGCAGTAGGCGACACTCTCGGGCGTCGGTAATCGAGAGGCGATCTCCGACCACCGTAAGCGCGGACCTGCGGACGGCGAGTAAGAGTAGCCCGTCGCTCGACCAGAACCAGACCCGAGCGTCCCGCACGCGCCTCATAGAGCTAATAAGTAGACCACCACAGACCGGGCCCTACAGGATTGATGTTTAGCCGGGGTTGCGGGGCAAGCGCAATAATAAGGCACCATGGAAGAGATTCCAGGTGATGGAAAGTGTCGGGGAGGGGGGGGGTTAGTCAATAGCAGTTTGACACTCCCTTCCGCCCGACACTGGACGATGGAGTCATATGTTGATTTTCCCCTCACAAAAATAACTAGCCGATACTTTTCATCTCTTTTCTGCAGTGACGGCTCTCAACATTAAAGTGGCATACATTTTAAGTTATATCTTTGTTCGTGTAAATTGACGTACATGACAAAAATAAACTCAACGTCAGTGCCAATAAAATATAAAGATTTCAATAAAACTCCCAAATAAAGAGTTAAAAAGGTATTTTATGGAGATAACTTTATATGCAATGAATTACAATTTAAATCTGCATTCGGCTTTAAAGGAAATACAGAATAAAAAATATAAACAGAAAATGTAAAAACAAACATGTTTTTTCATTGAAGAACATTACCAAAATGATTGATAAATTTACGTATTTATCCACTTCTTTACCGACACACGCAAAATTTGAGACACAATAAATGAACTAGACTAGTTAAATCACGTCAGTGTGACCATGTAGTAAACCATTATGTTTTGCTATAATTTTACCTCTACTTGTAGGTCTGTAAGTACTGCATAGGTATGTGTGATGATTTACTATGAGTACTGCGGTTCGACGAACAGAAATGTAAATAAAAAGAAATACACAAATTACAAAATTATGATTAAGGTGTCCTAACATCAAAAGCAGAAATTCACTGTGTACCTCGAACAACCAATTCAGATTAAAACAAACTACCCAGAAAACAAACAACACCAATAAAAAACAAACACTTTAAACGATTTTGATCTGTGTCACAAGTTAATAGAAGTATCATTTTTGCATTACAAGATAACCAACGTCATCTTGATCCCTTGAAAAGCTTATAAGCGGCGGCAAAACATGTCGTGACCTTTTGCCCTTAATATCTCGCAACGTTGCACACGCTGGAGTGATGTGGAGAGCGATGCGGACTTTTTGGCGTTCATGCAACACTGGGCATTGAAAGTATTTGCTTATGATGGTGTACTTCACAGATATTTTGCTTACAGTCAATTTTGATCGTTTACTTTTCCTTCAGAAGATACTAGGTGTTGGAATGCCATACGATACGAATGCGTTAGTTAAACCTGAGTTATATCACTGCCTCACAGTAAACCGTCGTGAACAAACACAGCGTTGTGATTCGTCGTTAGAGTAAGTTCCCCAATCCCTAAATCTCCAAAACCCTTATGTCAGAAGACATATAAAAACTAGGAATGAACGGTTTGGTACTTCATATATTTCAAATATGGTGTAATGGTGATTTCCTAAGTGCGACCACCAAAAAAGATGTCCTATATGGCACGAACCATTGTATTTATTGTCTTTAAAATTGTGGCATAGTGTCGTTACTTTATGATTTTTATTGTATCTATTATTAAAAATTCTTACGTATAGCTTTTGTAGAACGGGTAAATGTATAGATTCTAGAGGAATTTGCGAGCGTATACTCCAATACGTGCTGAAATTACTGCCAACTGGTTGGGATGTTTTAGATTACTGTTCATCAATAAAGAGACATGGGATACACATTCCAGTTTAGGTATGGGTTTAGTCTGATCAACGGTGAATATTTGGGTTAATTCAATATTTAAAAGGAATCTCAGTAAATAATATACCTAAATATTATAGATACATTGTAAGTATCACTTTATGTTTTGTTACTCTTACAAGCAAAACTTACAGAATATCATAGGATACTTTTAATGAGCTAGGGCTCTCAAAACAGCAAGTATTCTCTATACTAATATTGTAAAGAGGTAACATTTATAAGTTTGTATGTAAGGGATGATCTTTGGAACCGCTGCCTGATCGGATAGATAGCTACAATATTCCTGAGTGCCATAGGCTATAAAACATCACGCTACGATCTGTAGGAGCTGTGCAGCGGGTGAAACCGCGCGATAGTACCTAGTCTTAAATAATTTGTATATGTATAAATATTTTGCCCAAAGCCTTATACTCATTACCAGTACAAACACTATAGAATAAATACAACCTCTTTTAATATTCAGATAATCTCAACTTTGTACAATCTTTGTTTTATCTTTATAGTCATTAGCATTTTTTTTCACATCAAATGTAAAACAGTCTTGTTTTAATATTTAATAATTTCAGTACGACCTACAGTCAGAAATATTAAACAAAAAGCTAAATAATGTTAAGTCAAGGAAAACGTCTAAATATGGACAAGAGATCAAAAACATTTGTGAGTAGGTACCTAGGTACCTAAATTCAAAATATGATAAATAATAAAACTAAAAATGTACGGTACACAGGCAACAAAAGAAATTTAATTTGTTGACTTTGCAATCTCATGGGCATTTTAATTATTCGATAAGACGAAAGATGAAAGTTTTTTTATTTCAATTAAATCATCGATTATCTGAAACCTAAAAAATAGGGAGCGATACTAGTAACATTAAGAAAAAAATTAATAATAAATATTTTTTTTTTAGTTAGTGAGTAAATAGAAAACTGCAAAACAGTTTCTTCTTTACAAATAAAAAAAAAAACAATTGCCGTTAGACGTTGATAGAGCATCCCTGAAGGATTTGTGAAATAACCCGGATTCCCGTGGCCACGAACGTACGTGTGAGAAAGGATGAAGTGATTTTTAGCCAGTAAAGGGATAGTATGGGACGTGACGGCTTGGTGTCTGTGCGGGTTCAATTCCCGCACTTGTTAGTAATTTATAAGTAATTTTTTTAATAGATGCAGATTCTGATTTGAGACAATTTTACAAAAATGTTAGCTTGGACGGCCAACTGGAAGATGGATCACCTGATGGTAAGTTATCTGCGCCGGCATGCACATCTGAATCACTGAGAAGTGAAAGTTTGAGTTATTTGGAGATTGGAGGATTGGGGTTTTTTTATAGGTCGGCAAACGAGCAAACGGACTATCTGATGGTAAGCAATCAGCGCCGCCCATGGACACCCTCAACGGAGGAGTTACGAGTGCCTTGCCGACCCTTTAGGGATTAGGGTTTTGGAAATTTAGGGATTGAGGAGGGATCGAGGGAGGTGAAGGATTGGGGAACGGTAACCTCACTCACACGGCGAAACACAACGTTGTGATTGTTTCACGCCGGTTTTCTATGAGGCCGTAGTATCACTCCGGTCGAGAAGACCCATTCGTGCCTAAGCTTGGCTCTCCCACTCCCACACTGGGTTGTGGGGGAAGATTAAATCTCTCTCTTCGCCGTGCCTACCTTATCATGAAGTTTGGAATCAGGTGTGTAGATCGTCTTTCAAAGTCGGTTAACACATCTGTAGATATAGTCAGCGTAGTGTGTAGACGGCCTAATATGATAGAAAACGAAAATAAGGGGGGGGGGGGGTAGATGAAGATTCATCGCCCGAATTCAGGGAGCTGTGACATCGCGTGTTCAGTCTGCTTGTGACCACGACCTGTACAACCGGGTCGAAACGTCAAGCCTACCAAGGTATTCAAATAATAATTTTCCGCGTTAATATCCGCGTAAATATAGGTATGTTATTTTTTTTATGTGATCGGACGGCAAACGAGCAGACGGATTACCTGATGGTAAGCAATCGGCGTCGCCCATGGACACCCGCAACAAAGAAGGAGTTACGAGTGCGTTGCCGACCTTTTAAGGATTGATATTTTGGGGATTTTGGGATTGGGAAGGGATTGGGGTAGGGGAAGGATTGGGCCTCCGGTAACCTCACTCACACGGCGAAACACAACGTTGTGGTTGTTTCACGCCGGTTTTCTGTGAGGCCGTGGTATCACTCCGGCCGAGCCGACCCATTCGTGCCGAAGCATGGCTCTCCCACACTTACCATGGCTCTCCCACACTCATTCATTATTCATTTCATTATTATAGCAATAAAGACTTTTATGCGAATAGACGCAACAATCGTAAGACGTAAACGTAAGGCGTGAATGTATTAAATTGTATGAGTGTTGTATATTGTTGAGTTTATTAACGTGTTGTTGAGTTAAGTAACTCACAATTTAAATGTACTATATACTTATAACTATTTAAATTTTAATCTTAGTGAATACGGCATTAAAGATTATCAGCTCTAATTATCTAGATCTATTAACCTTCAAGTAAACCTCAGTGTAACTCAATTCTTTCTAATCTTTGGTTCCAAATTACCGAAGTAAGTTACTTAAAACAGTAAACTACCTTTAAATTAATTTAAAGTACAGAAAAAAACATCATTTCTTCTCAGGGCTTGTTTCACCACCTTTCGTATAAGTCCCTGATAAACTTAAGTAACACAAACATAATACCATCAAAAAAAAATTGTATTTGATTGTATTAAAAAAATGGAACCGATAAATAGTAAACATACCTAGTTCATACTTCTCTTTTTTGTGAGGGGAAAATCATCAAATGGGGGAGAGGGAGTGTCAGTCCTACTGACTAAAAGACCCCCTGCTCCTGCTCTAGGCCGAAACCTTATTGCGCTAGCCCCGCAACCCCGGCTGACCTATTTATACCTAGTAGATACTATCAGTAAGCTAGTAAATCAATCTCTAGTTCTCGAACTCGGTCAATTCCAAAGTTTAGTTATCTGTGGCCACGTTTACGCACAATACCGTTTAGACGATTCCAATAATTGCTCGAGTCTTGTAACAAATAAGATCGATTAACGTCCATTTTATGAGTATGACCCGTAATTCAGTATACAACGTACTGAAATATACAGCGAGAATGGTTTTCTCCTTCGGTTAACTGGTTTCTATTACATTCTTTTAATGTATATATGTATATATGTATATATGTATATATTTGTATGTTTTTTTAGTAGACATATAAACTGTGTTTTTTCGCAGAAAATTTATTTAGTATCTGAGTCTTTCTGCTACTAGTTTGTAATGGAAGTAGGCTTAATAGAAATCTTGGTATCAATTATTTTGCAATATTACATAAAAGTCGTTAGTTCGATGAAGTGTCTTAAGTTGATACAGCTATTTATTCTGAGGCATTTACTAAGTTCATCGGGGCAGCTGAAATTTAATAGAAGCCATGAAACGCAGATTCCTATTCAGACTTTATACTACTATATTCAATTTCTATTCCAAATCTCTATTACGTCTCTTTTCCAAAATATTAAATTATTTGTGTTAGATGGATATCATCGCAAAATTTGTCAATACGTTATACTTAACAATACCGAAATTCCGATATTTTCGATAAACCGTGCCGTCACATGGACAGATATTGCGGCCAAAATCTGTGACACTCGTGTGTGTCAACCAAAAAGTATACGAATACACGTTGGCCAGTATTATTGTGCTACAAAATGGCGTTTAAAGGAATAGTTGCTGGTAGAAGTTAAATAAGTTTAAGCTATCTCAATATGCTTGTTAGTAAACAATATCTCGCAGCAATATGCGGGCCTTATCAACAAACTTACGCGACGTAAAATAGAAATCTAAAATGAATTTTTGGATCGAAAACAGCCAGCAGGCTAAAGCATTTAAAAGTTACATAGAATTATAAATTGTGTTCGTGCGAATCAATTTAAAAGGTCAATCCGTTACACATTACAGTAAATGTTAACAATAAACATCAGCTTTACTGTAATTTTACTAATATTGTTTTGTTTTTTTATTGTAATACATGAGTACTTGCGTAGTCTTCAAATATCTATACAACGTCGTTTACTGAGATTAAGTGCCTGTTCAGCAAAACATTCAAGTCGAAGCAAGGTAATATAAATCCTTTTATGATTCGGTATAAAGTAGGGCTTTACTTTCGTATAATTTTAGATTGCCGTTTTCGCTTTCAAAACTTATTACAAACACACGAAACTCGGCTGAAGTTTTAATCGCTGGAACACGTGGAATTATTTAATATTATTAGACAAATTGATCTGTTTTGCGGTTTTACCCGTATACAGTACATTACACTGCATCTGAAGACCGTTTTTTGTTATTACGAATAAAGATATAAATAAGTTTTAATCTTTAATAGCAGCGTAAATAAAAATATGACGCCTGTTATGAAAGTAAGCATTTAATACGACGCATTGCACGACTCCATCACATAGTAACACGGTTCACAATATCACGACAAGACAATTTTCAACGTTGTCCATTTTGGTTTTTGGTTCGAACCAATAAATCTAAGAGATACAAAGGGATTTGCACAAAAGCGTACACGTGCAACAATTTAGCAACCGGTGATTGTTGTGCAACGGACCGTTCGTTGGAGATTTCTACGAGTATCAATCATCGCTAAAGCATGTTGTTTCAGCTTTGTAGTTGTTTACGGACTGGTTACGTGAATGGTGTCTTTTTGAATTTGAAGTCTGTTTTGCCTGTGCCAAACGTATACTGACATATACCTTTTTTTAATGAAGTTTGGTGCAGTTTTAACATTAGAAGGCCAAAAGTCTCCACGGGGAACTGATTTGATCACGGATCGCTCAAAATTTAAAAAATCAAGACACGTAGTACTAGGCACGATTGGACCAACTCGACCGAAGTAAAACCACAGCCTTGTAGAATACCGGCTTGAAACAACTGTTGCATTGTATTTTGCCTTGTCACTCACACGAAAAGTACAAAGCAAATTACAATTAATACGGGAAGTATTAATTGTAATTTGCATCTATCCCTAATCCCCAAATCCCTGACAATCCACAAAAAGCTGACAACACTTGTAACTCCTTTGGTGTTGCTGTTTTTCATGGGCGGCGCTAATTGCTTTACATCAGGTGATCTGGTAATAATTGATTTCGGAATAAATTAAGTGTAAATAAATAAAAAAAAAATGGAACAGGACAAAAATAGTAGGCAATTAAAAAAGAACAAGAGTTGTAAGTTATTTCTGGCAAATTTTGTCACTTATACCCTCAGAATACAGAACAAACCAGAAGGCGTTATCGCGCTTAAAACAGAAGCAACTAAAACCACTCTTTACTATAGTAGTATGAAATTTCTACGATTAGTAAATTTTGGCACGTGGCATGTCGTGACGTATTTACGAGTATTAATTTTAATTTCATTATGCCGTCTTGTGTTATTACTACGAGTAAAAATGCGGCTGGAAATACGAAAAAAGTGGATAAGATTACATTTCATCTGCAAGCATCGACTGCAATAGTATATTTAATTAATTATTGAATTTTTTTAATCGATTTATTTTTCTATGAAAATGATGCGGCCATTTTGTGAGTGTTGTCATTCTTGGTGAAAATTTTACCCACTTATTTATTCTTTGTGGGTTATATTTCTGTCCATTATCTAACAAAAAAATTAAAAATCATACAAAAGGCACGGCTAGATTCATTTTGGAAACCATCTAGCCAGAGCATAGTTTGCTCAATTTACTTTGAAGAGATATATGTATTTATGACAAAGGTGGTTTGAAAACAGCATTTCCTACTAAGATATATCTATAGGTATACTAATTATAATGCTGTAGAGTTTGTTTGTTTGTTTGCTTGAATTCGCTAACCTCAGAAACTAAGTAAAGTAAGTGGACTTCTAATCTTTAGTTCCGAGTCTAAAGACAATACATATTATAAAAAACTAAACCAGCAAAAGGGAACGCAATAAAACCTTCGCACTTATTGAAGCTTTGTTTTATTTGTTGTGTATAGTAGGTGTAACTAAAATTAACATTAACATTTATAGTAAGTTTACCTATTTTTGTTGGGTTTACCCAACAAAATATATCTTACCCTCCTGTTGTAAAATTACCCCAAACCAAGGAAATTGTTCCACTTTCGGCAACACTAGGCGGGTGGGAAGTGCGGCTGGCGGGGGGAATGACGTATTGTTTTTGGACACATTTGACGACATGTAATTATGAGTGAACGCGGCTTCTGGTTTGTTCTGTATTCTGAGCTTATACCTCAAAGAGATTGAATGCCAGTGTCAATATGTAAAAGACCACAAAAGAGTGAGCATTTTACATCAATTTTCCAATATGAACAATACTCTAAAACCACTTACAACACACAAAGGGAATTTAAGATGCATTAAAGTACTTAAGGCTTTAGCTTGTTACTTAGGCATACACACGAAGCGGGTCTGCGGACGGCGAGTAATGGTAGCGTTCCGCGCGCGCCTCATAGAGCCAATACACCACCACAAACGGGGCCTTAAAGGGCTGACCACAGAACAGTTTCTATTCCGTGAGGCTGACGTTCAGCCGGGGTTGCGGGGTAAGTGCAATGAGGCACCGTGACCTCGGCCCAAAGTAGGAGAAGGAACGGGGGGATTTTTAGTCAGTAAGAGTCTGACACTCCCTTCCGCTCAACCCTGACCGGGAGAATCCTTTTGATGAATTTCCCCTCACAAAAAAGGCATACACAAGAAGTACACATATAATATATATCTACAACCTATGTTTCTATAGTACATATCTGATTTAGTGTTTGTGTAGTCACTAAGCTTTGTTATTAGTTTTCAGGGAAGATATTTTTAGTAAAATGTTATGGAAATGTAAAATTAAAATCTCAAAGGTCACCATTGTCTGCAGTGAATAATATTATTATAATTTATAAATAATGTGGGTACATAAATAAAATGTGTAGGAAGATGTTGTAAGCGTAGTGAACTTAGTAGTATAACGTTGGTATCTAAACTCGTGGGTATGTTTATATTAGGCAATTTATAAAAAAATAATTTTTTGAAGAAAATTTAATATTTAAATACTATTGGTGTCTTATTTTTATTGGTGTTTTACCTTCATATGTATATAACGTACCTTTATCTGTACGTTATATATTTTTTAGGAAACTAAGAGACAAAAACATGTTACCGGTCACAGCAAAATATATATACTGGTTAACTATGGTAACATTTAGCTGCCACCTGATTCTATTTTGCCACCCTCCTACCAAGGTTGAACATGTTAAGCGAATTTTTTTAAATAAAATATGTTAGTATAATTTAACAAGTTTTAATATGATTAAGGGCGGATTTTTCAATGGTTAGAAAAAGTTATCTGTGGAATAATTATGATGCTGTCGCGTCAGAATGTTTGTATAAAACAGTGACAGCAACAATTTTATTCCTCAGATAACATTTATCGACTATTGAAAAATCTGCCCTAAGTGTAATAAGATAATGTTAAATTTTAAGTAATTTAATAGGTCACCTGCGGTAAAATCGTTAATGTGTGGCATTCTATTCTTGCCGGTGAGTCGCCGTACGTTGTCACCACCATTATTAGCATCATATTCGTTTATATGAGCTCCATGCCTGCGCGCCAGCTTGCTAATGGCACGCTCAATGACTCTGCGAATTATTTTCCATTATCAACTACAGGATAAAAACGTGCTCAGTATTAAATATAACCCTCAATATTGCTTATACAATTCAAAATAGAACACAGTGAATAACATTTACTTTATCAAAAATAATGATTTAATCACGTGAGGCAATTAAAAAAAACTCTACTACTTTAAAGTCACAATTTGACACTTATTCATGAACAAAATGCGACCAATTGTCGTTCTTTTTAATTCATGTCTCACGATAATTTACTATTCAAAATAATATTACAAAATGTAAGTCCACGCTCGTGTTTTTTTACTAGTATAGATCAAGAAGGCCATATAAGTTTAGTAGATGCTAAATTAGTTACAAACAACCTGCTAGTTTAATCAAGAGGCAGAATGATCCGATAAACTTAGGAAAGAATATTTGTGATGCCAGTAGAGCGGTAGCTTCAACGACAAGGCCTAAGTTAATAGATCGGTAATAAAAACTTATCCGTGACCCTAGCTAATCTAGGCTAGGGCCTGACTAGCTGGTGTCACAAGAAAATAAATGAAATTGAAGCAAAACTCTGATCAAGCAAGACTACTGTCATAAAATTTTGTTACGTGCATTAACTTATAAAAAAAAATGTAAAAGCGCAATAGGATACCCAAATAAACAGATACAGAACCCAACATAGGCTTTGCTAAGTTTAGAGCAGTCACTAATTACATAAAATTTAATGTTAAATAGTGCAAAAGAACATAGTTTCTTTGTCATTTCGAATTATTACCACAATAATACATGAGACAAATTGTTAAGTTCAGAGCAGAGAATTCCTAAAAAAAATCCACAAATAACACAGAACTTAAATCGTCCAATGCAATGGGCTGCTCGAAATAACAAGGTACATGTATTAAATTACTTACAGTATACCGTCGTCTTCTCTCATATCTTTTGAAGAGAAATAGACAAATGTACCATTTCCTGGCCAGTCAGGGATTGGTTGTGGTTCAAAATTAGCCACGCTACCGTACTCTTCAGCTAACCTCGACAGTATGTACCTCGCCATCCATAGATCATCGGCTGCCTTGATGCCAGGACTTGGACCGACCTATAATATCACCATTAAATAAATAATTCATACAAACCTATGCATTTCACATCATAAACCATCATTTATCTATACACTATACGTAAAAAGGCAAGTTTCGCAAAAAGTACCTATTACAAAAAAAATATTCGTAGCAATTTGGGATTTTTATCACGTTTTCCATGTACGCTGAATATTCGAGTTCCCTTAATTCGCCTTCAAATACTTTCAGATTCAGAATAATGCCAGTAATGTGGTGTTATTAAACGAAAATGGAAGACTACCAATTTGAATAAAAATATAATGTAACACTAAGGAAATATGTAACAAAAATAAGGCCAAGCGAAAGTTATTTTTAAACGTAAGTAAAATCAATAGATAAATAAACAATCAACAATTCTATTATTGTGATAGCGTAATATCTTGTACAAACTGTGCGCCGTGACGTAAGCGAACCAAAGAGGTTTGAACACTAAGCGGCCGCGTCCGCAATCACAGTTTTGATATATTGATATACTTATGGTTGTCCTGGGACTTTGTTTGGTGGAAGATGTTTAGTCGAGTTCGCGACGACGTAGGACCTCAGATGCAGAAAACAAAAAACGCTTTTCGAGTTTCATTATTTAAAAGAATGTTGTATATAATAATATATATAAGCATATAATGCTTGCAATTCTTAAAACCTGTTTATTTAACTTATAAAGAAAACAAATCATTTACACGAGGTATTTGTCTAAATATAGAATGTTCCCCCAGAATGACCTTTTCCAATGTTCACATTGTTCTTTTATTTCACTTTCAGGGAGCATAAATAGCAAAAAATACCAGACTTTTAAATAAAATATTCACGCTGCTACAAATTAGAAACACGTGTTTTTATTTGGTATTTAGAAAGTTTATTTTAAATTCTAGTTATAACAAAAATAAATACAGTTGACATTTTGCAGCGGTTTAGCGAAATTATTATGTCAAAACAGATGTTATCTTTTTCAAGGATGCTACGGCGGTACATCGATGAAATTAAAAATGGTAATTAATTACCGCGAAATATGTAGAATACTGAGCTTTTTTATGTATATAATTCATGCCGAAATCAGCACTGATTTTGATAAACTAAAATATAGAGACAGATTAGTACATTTAACTCTAAAATCAAAAAAGTAAAGGCGAATACTGCTTATACTTAAAGAAACTAAAATACCACTGCACTGTTTTACCTGGAAATTCCATTGGGATGGCGTTGATCCTGGATTTATACCATTAATCTGAATACCTGCATAAAGACAGCATCTAAAACGAAAAAAAGATGCACATTCAGTTCGTCCACTAGACCCGAGATCTTATACATCTTTGAGCCTGTATATAAGATTGCTAGGTATCTTTGTGAAATACGGAATCTTCTTACGATAAATCCTAAAACACAGTTTCTATGTACTTACAATCCTGTTGTCTTGTAGAGTACTGTCTACATCTAATGATAAACCTACATAGCTAATTTAAGATACTGTTTTTTCCTTTAACAATAAAAATATTGGTTTCATAATCAGCTTCCAGATAAGTACACCACGTACTGTGTAATTCAAAGCCAAGACTTTTTACTACTTAAACGTATTAATTTCATGGACTTGAAGTTAAGTGAAAGCAACAAAACACTTTTAGAAACTAAATGCCTGCATCGCTGAGCTTACCCCCTGTGGGGTTTGAATAACAGCTCAATGAGTTCATTGAAGGGAAGCAGAAAGCAGCAGGCTGGGTTGGTTTATCAAGCGGCAACAGATTTAATAGACATCATTACAAAACAAATAAGAATACCTATAAAAAGCCTCCATTAGATCTCTAGCCACGATTTTGTTAGCTCCTGTAGCGCAGTAGTAGGGTCCTGGAGGCGCAGGGAAGCCACCAGGGGGCCAGCCTAGTGGCCTGCCATCTACTGATGTGAGAAAGAACTCCTGGTTGAACCCAAACCATGGCTCTTCAACTTCACCCTTCTCACATAATATTAAGCAAGATTTGCGGAAGTTTGTGCCTGTAGAAAAGTTTATTGTTACTACACAATTTCAAGAAATAAACGTGTTCTGTACAAGTTTCAAGAGCTTGAAATCGCTTACATTTTCTTCGCATTCTGTCGGGAAATTTACTTTTTGCCTCTCGAGTCTAACATAAATTATATTTACTGCAAATAATAAAGCACGGTGGCTGTAGGTATTTATATTTGCGAAAATTGATATTATTCTGTTTCAGTAAAAATGAACTGAGCAAACAAATAATTCTCATCAAGGCAGTAAAAATATACATTCCAAAGTTCATAAAAACATGGTTCGAGTAAATAGGAGCAGCTAACGAGAATCAAGTGCGATAAATGTGAGAAAATCGTGCTCGCCATTGCATTGGCTTTCCGGTCACGAGTCCAGACTGCCACTGAGAAATTTCATTAGCTCGACAGAGTATCGGCTGACTAATAACTACGATTTCTAGGAACTTATCAAGTATCTGCACCTACTTATCTAGCAAGATTAAAGAGTTTTACTACTTTACAAAATGTTAGGTTGTTACTAAGGGAATCTCTTCAACGTACCTACCCACGCTAAGTCGAACTTTTCACAACATTCTGATTGAAAAGTAAAATAATTCATTACCAAACCTCATTAACTGGTTATAACAGAAAAAGTTTAGGCAGCCAACAAACAAATGTTCTGATTTAATCCAAATTATAAAACAGAGAATCAGAATTGAGTTTCGCTTTGTACTTTGATTTGAACGGATTAATTCTTTGTTTTTGCCTAATAAGATTTGACAAATAATGTCGACAATTTTCGAGAATCATTACGATTAATTAAGCTCGTGTTTCTTAGAAAACAAGTCGTTACTATAAGAGCTGTGTTTCGTGTTTTACATTCCCAGTAGACTGATTCATTTAGTTGGCCATCAAACTCTATAGAAGCGCGTTATTTTTCCTTTGAGTCGTCGATAAAAATAGATTTTAAATCGTTTATAGAGTATCTAACAAGATAGATTCCTACGTGGGCTGAAGACAAAAACTAGACCTTTTAAACTAGATCCTTTCAAAAGAATACTGGTTTCCTTTTCACAATATATTAAACGTTCTAAATACTGAATAGCAATGTAGTATATTTTGTCTCCTCTTTTTTCATGAAGATCGGCAAACGAGCAGAAGGATAACATGATAGTAAGCAATCGGCGCCGCCCATGGACAACCCAACATCAACAGAAAAAAAACTCACATGGAGGGAAAGTAAGGATTAACACTCACACGGCGAAACAACGCTAAGGTTGTTTCACGCTGGTTTTGTGTGAGGCCGTGGCATCACTTTGGTCGAGGCGAAGCATTCGTGCCGAGGCTCGGCTCTCCCACACTTACCCCAACGCAAGTATTGTATACCTTCTTAAAGTCGACTCAAAAAAAATGACTGAGGCTGTTCAACATGAACACAGTTTGTAATATTCAAGAGACGAAAAATTAACACATTTTATTAGTTTTTTTTTAAACTTTTACTCTTTTTGAAAGATAAATGGTTCATTGTAAATTGTTAAATGTAAACACGTAGTCAGAATACAAATTACATTTGTGTAATTAAATAATTTGTTCACATTTTCACGATAAATTGAACAACGATGACAGTTATATAGAAACATTCATTTTATATAGAGTTGACAGGAGGCAGAATGACCATAAAATATGTAATTTACTAAATATTGCTGAATTAATTATTGTCATAAAATGAAACTGTAATTAATTATTTGCTCTAACGCTAATAAATTAATTATAATTTACTTGTATGTCGCGTTGATGTGTGAATACAAATAAGGTTCATAGTATTGTGTCACATTCTTTTGACCCGTAAAAAATATATATTATTTTCAATATGAATTTTCTACCAATGTTCTAAAGGAATCAAGCAATAGTAGGTCACAAATCCTGTTACTTAGTCTCGCCAGTAGTTTCGGTGAGAGCGACAAATCTATCGACCACGTACCTATCTCGTGAACCACGACGGTCGTAGTGCAATCGAGTTATCAAACGAGTAATTTAGGTGGATTCCATGATATACTCCAATTCCTAGCTCTAGTAAGGCTTTAGGTAAAATTCAGACAACACATTAGCACTGAATGCTGACTGAAATGTTCCCGCAATGCGTTTAATGGGCAACTTTACTTAGTGTAAAACAATAGTCAGCTGCTAGAGTGTTGAATTAAGAATATCTTATATAAAATAATGCATTTATTTCGTTTCACTTAGCATTAGTTCCTACAATTTCCTTTTTTAAATATGTTCTACAATGTGTTCTATATAAATATGAGCTACTTTTCTTTGACTTTCTACACTTTGTAGCAATATAAAACAAAACATTGAAAAGGTTATTTAAAACTCCAATTTACTGAACAAAGAAACATTTTCTGCACTAAAATGAGATATAATCTGAGCTAAATTGGAATGAATGTTATTTTGCATACATTTTTAGTAATTCTTTGTGTTGTCCACAACTCTCTCGGAGTCTACGACCTCTGTTGTTTTAGTTAGGGTAAAAATGAAGTTACTCGCGAACAAAGAAAAATATTTGAGTGAATAATAACGTAATTTACCAAATTTTCCATAATCAAGTATGAAATCGGTCAATGATCTTGTCTTTTCCCATCAATCGATATTTCAAATTTAGCTTAGTAACTGAGATATTGTAATGTCAACACTTATCCCCTATCATTATATTTCTCCTCTTATCATTGAATAAACCAATAGAGACACATAGTAGCTTAGAGACAATAAATGGCAATCGGTAGACATAAACGACCGAGTCAATCCTAGTTCAGGAAATTTAGTATCAACCTTATTAGAAAAATAGAAAAAGAGGTGGAAGAATTTTGGCAAAAAAACCAAGATGGAGAAGATAACATGAACTTTAAGATCAATGTACCTGACACTACAACAAGCAGTACATAATATTATATCTTAACATCTGTTGGAGATCTACGCTTCAGCACGAATGGGCTAGCGCGGCAGCAGTGATACGACGGCCTCACAGAATGCAACCGGCGTAAGGCAATAACACAGGGATTTCACTTCACGCCAGTTTCGTCATGTTAGATTTTAATTTAATTTATGTTCACACTAAATGTTAAAACACACACACACACACACACACACACACACACACACACACACACACACACACACACACACACACACACACACACACACACACACACACACACACACACACACACACACACACACACACACACATACATACACACACACACACACACATACACACACACTCAAATTGAAGAGGAAAATACACTAATAGTGCTTGGTAAAAGATCAAACTCACATCATTACAACGCCAACCGCCAATATAGTCGTACCTATTACTTAAATTGTTATCTAAAATATATATTTATCTAAAATATTAATCAAATAAGTAAATGAATTAAACTAACTTGTTGGTTGATAATTGAACGAGTAAGTATCCGACAGCACCAATATGTTACTTCCTCGTCTAAAAGGATCGTGGTATAGTACTTGGGGAAAGATATAAGTGTCGGAATTATCGTCTTTTGCTTGATCTGTGTTACCACCATCAAAGTACCAGATCGGCAAATCTGTAACAGAATCGAATGAAACCATGTGATTAACAAGATTTACACATTCCGAGACTTTGAACACTAAGATCAATGAGATCGGTGATCCAAATAGATTAATGACTTCTGTTTCAACAATAAGGTGTGGATGGCATTCCTATGAAACTTGCTACTATTATATAATTAGCCACGAGAACTGTTATAACGTATAATAGATATCTAATTTTCTTTATAGAGGAGGAAAAATAGTACCTACTTCATTACTTTTCTATGTTGAAGAAATCAAGAGAATACTCTTGTAAAATCACGAACCTCATTTGTTGTCGTTACATTAGCTACCTTTAACAGTCAGGTGACGATTTAAAAAAAATGTGAAATAAATACTTTTTTATTGTTCTTACATTACAGTAATCGTGTATAGTCTGTGACGTCAGTATCTCTAGCCCAATAAAAATGTTTTTACGTGTCAACTGAGTATAAATCGCGGAGTTCATCCTAAAATTAAAAACTTCGTGACGACATGGGAATATAACCCATTACGTTTCTGACAATTAAACCTCTACCAAGTACTCCCTTAAGAGAAAGTCATAATTCAATGGAATTTCTTTTACATAATATTAATGGCAGTATTATACTTTATTACGCCATTGTTGTTTTTATTTTTTATTTAATTTGTATGCAAACTACAAAACAATTCGTGATTATCTTTGCAATACATACCTAGTTATTTGTCAACCTAATACATAAAGGATGTCAACTATGAAAAAATATGTTTTAATTTTGGTACAAACATTTCAGTTTTATCACATCGCGTGACGAGAGATATAAAAATTTACAAATGTCAAGTACGTCTTCATAACATTTTACGCCTTAAAAATTTACCGTTTCATGAACTGAAAACCAAATTCACGTCTCACTTAAGTGTGTTTTACAAGTAAATTATATTCCTTAACAAAAAGAGATGTATTTAATATTAAAAGATATTAATGCACTCGCTAAATAAGTTCCCAATCTGTTTTAATCACGCTCACCTATTTGGCTATTTTAATAATACTTTTGTTAGTGCACTTACCTATATCCAAATTGGGTAAACAATAAAAGTAAGCAAACATAAACTTAATATTTTATTTATAACAACGAAATGGTCGTAAACTAAGAGAATCCATATTGTAAAACAGGCAATCAATCTGTCCATCGCATGTTGTAAAAGCCGATTTTATGTGAACACCAACGATATTCATAAAAATGGACGACCGAAGGGGGATCCACTCGCGTGATTTGTATTTTTCAAAATGGCTGAACGTTTTAATGTTAAGGTAAGGTCGATAAATGGAAAGATTAGAGCTTCACTTGTAATTGCAAAGAAAATGTTAAGTACTTCGTAATGGTATGTTACAAGTGCATTTAATGGAATAATTCAAAGCAAAATAAATAAAGGTCTGTATCGTGAAAAAAATGTATTAGAATGCATAAAAACCACAATATTAAATTATTAACATAAATATATAAATTGCCTATTGTTAAGAAATAATCAGCTGATAGCTTACAAATAAAAATACTGACCTTTAAAATATTAAAATATTTTGGGAGAGCCCTTTGGAATTTTGCAACGGGGAAAAACTACTACCACGGACGAAGTTGCGGACAAAGAAATGTCAACGATAAATCTAGATCAAGCTTTCTTTCCTTTACTATGATAACTGACAAACGTTTGCTTTTTTTATAGATTAATTGTTAGCTGCAACAACACCTAACTTTGAATATTATATAAAACAAAGCAATATTCGTAAATTGAATGATTCGGAACCCAACAAAATTACTTAGTTCTATCAGAGGTGGAAAATAACCATCAAATGGGACATCTAATGCCTATAAAATATCAAGTTTTATGTCTAGTAATCTCATTTTGCCACATATTTGTCAATTTATTTTTTATAGAAAATATGATAATTTTACTGCCAAAAAACGACGAGCAATAAAACGTAGTTCAGTCCTAAAACAACGCGACGGGTCAGGTCCACTCTATAGGCACTAATCTATATTTTATTAGTTAGTTTATCGTTAACAATACCTAGGTATCCAAATATTGTATTAGTTTTTTTATTAATAAATTTCTTTAAATGGTATATTTAAATTTTGAATAGTACCCCACTTAAAATTACCTAAATGGCCATACACACCTGGCAGTTAAAAGATTATACAACAACAAATTTTGGCATTAAAATAACTTGATAACAGGGACTTGATACAATGACTTGGTAACAGGGAATGAATAAGGCAGAGGGTGATAAAGGTTTAAGTGACAACAACAATAAAAATACAAATAAATACTTACCCTTAACAATTTTCGGTACAAAATCAAATGTCCTGTCTTTACCACGAAGGTTGATACCAGATCCGTCGATCCACACGTAAGTAGCAAGGATAGCATCACATGGGATCTCAAGATCCTCATATTTCCGCATCGCGGCCTTATTAAGCAAAATCGGCACAGTATTCATTGTAATATCTGTAGACAGAAAAATAATAATTAATTTACAAGAAAAAAATTAATATTCTAAAAAAAAGTATAATAGCAAAGAAATAGTGGAGAGTGAGAGGAAAAAAAGTAATAAAGAATCGTGTAAGTCTAGAATCAGCGAATTAATCCTGATAGTAATGGTAGCAAAAAATTATGACAATACTTAGATAAAAGTGGATGGTCTACTTTTTTCCCAAAAAGGAATGCTACTTCGACGATTCCTCCCTTTTAAGTCGTATTACGAATCTTTACACACCATCTTATAAAATTCCAAGGTTTGAGGATATTTTTCTTAAAAGAAAAAAAAAACAACTTTTCCTACTCTAAATCAATTTTATGAATTCCTTATTATTTCACTTTGAACTGTTTGTGTATAGATACCTACTATAGGTATCATTTTCGATTGTTAAGAGGAATATAGCTCCGACTGATGTTCGATAGGATAGATATTAATAACTGACCTTATAAAAAGCAGACAATCCTCTAAATTTACCTTCAAGAACTGAAAAGTTACTGAAGTTCACTCATAATTTTGCTATTCCTGAAAATAATTCAACACCTACTTAATTAATGCTATTTTTACTAAATGCTCATAGAACACTTGTTATACAAGTGACCTATTGACCTTTTTAAACTTTTAAAGAAATTCTGCAGCAATAGCAATAATTTATTAACAAAAGGTAGGTATAGGCCAAAACAGAACAATAATGCAACTCTTCTGTGAACAAACATAGTGTATGTGAACGGAAAGTACAACAGAGCAAGGTATCATGTTAATGCAAGACTTACAGCTTTTTCGGCAAATTTAGCAATAAACTTACCAACAATATGAAAAAAATCGTTACTTTCTCAAATAATTTTACACCATAATTTTATGAAAGCAAATAAATTTGTCATAAGTTTTAGAATGACATTATAAAAATGTTTATTTTTAATCAAACAACAAAGTATTTCTATCCAACCGGATTATTTAAACTTTTTCGAATTTAAATAATTCCAGCCAGCACCAGTCTACTTGAAATTCCACATAACTAATCTTTTTGGCGTTGTAACGTATCAGTTTCCCTATCATTATTATACTCTTTGGTATCATTTGTCACAAAGTGGTTATGGATATGGTCACGATGTCAAAAATATTTTTACACTTTGTTGAGAAAATTATAGCGTAAGAATTGTATCCCAAAAAATAGTATGAGTTACATTAAAAATCATGAAAGCAGCAAAACTTCAGGACGTATTTTTGATACTATGTTATATTATTGTGCAAATTACAGTGGAACCTGTTGTGAGCATTCTTTCATACGAAAATAAACATTATGTTAAAATCAAGCAAGATCCAACTACGTATCAGTTAGCATCAGCATATAGAAACAAGAAGCACGTTTCTGAAAGAGCCTTAAATGGTACGACTCAACTCGATAATACCATCATGAACGCACTGAGAATGTCACGCACTCCAGTAGAAACGAGCCGAAATTATAGTCAAAATAAAAACAACAATGGTCATAATAATGACAAGCCTATTTCTCAGTATAAAAAGTGGCAAGTGGGAAGAGTCAGTCGAAAACAGTATGAAATTATAAACATGTTGTGGAGAAAAACAAAGATATTTCTTGACGAGGATTCGACTACCGCCGCTTATTACCAAAGACATAGTAATGTAAGTGAAAAAGTTATGGAAAGTGCTTCTATTTTTCGTCCACCTATCGCAAGACTTCCACCTCGGGCAAGCGTCTCGACTACAACTCCTAGCTTCATTGAATTTTATTATTTGGATGAATCAGACGATCGTGTGAAGAATTTTCCATCTAATAAGTTTCAGGTTCCAGACCATATAAGAGAACATCAATTAAGAAATGATCACCGTAAATTTGGGCCCCCCCATTCCCAAATGTTTTCTTTTCGTATTGACGATGGTGCCTACAGCCAGAAAAAGACACACACTACCACGAAATATTCGCAACCAACAAATAGGATGAGAAGACGTAAAACTAGAACACATGGTTCTTCTTTGACTGGGTTTGATTCTCTTAATTCTTTAACACCCTCATACAAATTTCCACGCTTGCAACGTCCACAACAACTTTTTAAATTCGACCCTTTAATAGTAACGAAATCTTCAAGAGAAATGAAAATGAATGTAACAGTAAATACCACCACTCCCGCTGCAGCGCCCATTGTAACAATAAACAATGGTACCAATACCACTGTTACAACTTTAAATAGCATTGAAAATGATACATGTCCATTAACAACGGAGTTAAATACGACAGAAACCGAAAATTCTTCACCTAATAATAAATTACTAAATACAACCCCGGTAGAGCCGACAACAGCGTACGACAAAATAAAATTTTTCGAAATGTATGACAAAAATACACCCCTCCCTTATTACGATGAAAAAGGAAGATTACTTGACGTTGATAATATTGATATTTTGATGAAGAGAAATGAAGTAAACAATAATGAACGAAAAATACTTTTGGAAAACGTTGACCAAGATATTTCTAATGAACATAGCCATCCCCATAAGTCGAAACATGCCAAGAAACATATAATTGAAACTTTCAAACACGAACTTCAAAGTAATATCAACTCAATTCCAGACGTTAACAAAACAATGAAACCTGTAGTATTGAATGTTTCAGACACAAACATTAATATGTCGTCGGTAACAAAACAAGACATGAAACAAATGTTACTATCTCAATCAAAACATTCTGATTTACTCGAGTACAAAAAGAGCAAACATGTGGACTGGACTCAGTATCCATTTGTTGCTGCTTATGTGTATGAGCCCTCACAGGTAATGGTAAGAAATTATAATAGATTTTCAATTTGTAGGTAGACATCGAGTCTCAAAAGTTACGGTATAACAAGTTTATTATTTAGTTACTGTTACTATGCTCTAAATATTAGTCCTTAACTATACAAATCATTCGATTTTGCTTAAATGTTTTCCAAAATATTGAAAGCATTTTACGGCTTATTGTAAACAACCAACTGGAATTAATTTTCCACAAATCATAAACTTACTAAAAACCTGACACGCACAAGTAACTAATGATAATAACAAAACTTAAACCCATTAAAGATTTTATTTTACTTCTTAGTTATTAAGAACCAGACGACTAAATATTTATGATTTTATCCCAAGAATTTTAAGACTGCCTGCTTTTCTGGAAACTTGAAATAGACTTTAAAGGCTAGCACTATACAATATAGTTTATTAAAATAATAACAAAGGTAAAAATATTGAAAATCATTAAGCATAAATCATATTAACAGGTGCACTGTGACGCTGCTGGTATTAGTCCCCATTGGTTGATTACATCTGGGTCGTGTTTATCAAGACATCATAAAAACCCCGGCGGAGAAGGACGATCAGCCTTTGTAACGTATTGTGGAGAATCTTGGTGGAATCCAGAAAGAGTGGCTTACGTCAAATACAGCCTGGTGCACCCACGTTTTAACCCAAGAGATAAAACGCGAAGACATCTCTATAATATTGGTATTTGCATTTTGTATTCAATGATCATATTACTTTTCTAGTTTGAAACAAAAAAACCTATATAAAACTTCGACTGAACGTATACAGACACAGTCAGACAACATATACAGTCTCCTTGCGTTGATGTCACAAAGTGACAGAAATAAACCAATAACCAAATACACTCAGTCATTGTTTGAAATCAAAAGTAACTAATCTCAAAGGACGCGACGTCAGGACTTTGGTATATATATTATTTCTTCTTGTCAAGTAAAAAAAATAGGCACAAAAGTATCCAACTGACAACAAAATAATTTTTGGTCTAATAGATCCTTATCTTGATTAACAAATAAATCACGTTAGACATGTAAACTCCTAAAAATACGTATAAGTATATGCGGAAGAAGACAGGAGCTAAGCGGTGTATAGAATTAATAAAATTAATTACTTACGCTGTTGACAGGTAACATAATTAAATCGGGTTCCAAGTATAATCTACTTTATTATAGTGATCACGAAACGTTCAAATATTCCTTAGCAGTTGACAACAAGATTTTTTGCTTCTTATATTAAGAAAAATAAATATTACAAGTTTGTCTAATATTTTACTATTCGTCGAAACTTTACTGTAGATTTTAGGTCATGTTTCGGGAATTAATTTCCCTGCATTTTGTTGCTTGCATCTTTAAAATGTGTCTTTTTTATTTATTTTAATATAATTTTAGTTCGAACTTACTTTAGCTTTGATACGAAACAAGTATTTATTTAATTTAAACTTTTTTATTGTAGCTGTTACGTACAAATTTTATTGAAAGTAAAATAGTTATGTAGACTTACCCCGTGAATTAACAGATAAAAGCTCTACTAATTTCAAGTCACAACTGGACTCTTACCCATGATTAACGTTCACGTAAATGTTATATTCAATATATTACAAAAAACTCATACTTAAGTCTAATTTTTAGGTCTTATTCAAGTAGTGACTTCGATGGCATCTGCGTGCAGCGCTTGGTCGTCAATTACATTGATGTCCCATCAATTCGTAGCTAATGAAGAAGGATCTATGGCCAATGCTGTTGGATGGGGCTTAGACAGGTATAGTTTAAACAAGTTTCGTCCATTTTCAACTCAGTATGATATAATTATTTGATGCTTCCCTTCAAATATTAGCAGTAAAGTTAATGAACCTAATGATGTCTCAAAGAAACACTATCGTAACACATAGGTAATGAATGTAAAAATAGACGGCATTGAAAAATAACAACGCTCAATTGCGTAAAGCTATAGTCAAAGTCAAAGAAAGACAATTTCAGTATTGCCTTTTTTTTTGTCAGGGGAAAATCATCCAATGACTTCTCCCGCCCAGGGTAAGGCGAGAGAGAGTGTCAGACTCTTACTGACTAAAAACCCCCCCGTTCCTTCTCCTGCTCTGGGCCGAGGTCGCGGTGCCTCATTGCGCTTACCCCGCAGCCCCGGCTAAACATCAGCCCTTTAGGGCCCCGACTGTGGTGGTCTATTGGCTCTTTGAGGTGCGCGCGGAACGCTACGCGCCTCGTCGTCTATTCGTCGTCTAGTCGGGTGGCGAGCTACCCTTACTCGCCGTCCGCAGACCCGCGCTTACGGTGGCCGGAGATCATCTCTCGATCCCCGACGTCCGGAATGTCGCCTTCTGCGGCGGCTGGGGCGCGAGGAGGATAGTTCCCTCACGCGCTCCGCCTCCTCCTTTGCGAGCATAACTGCTTCGCAGAAGGAGGAGATAGCTTCCCAGTTCCTCTCACGCTGCACCATGGCCTCGATTAAGGCCGGGCGCGAGAGGTCGCCGCCGCCGATCACTTCCCTGAGAACACGGCGGTGCTCAGCCCAAGCAGGACACTCCGCCACCGTATGCTCCACCGTGTCCTCCAGGTGATCCGCACAATGACGACACTCGGGCATTTCCTCCCGCTGGATCCGAAACAGGAACCTACCAAAGCTGCCGTGCCCGGTAAGCACCTGCGTCAGGCGGAAGGTGAGGACGCCGTGGCGTCTCTCAAGCCACTCCTCAAAGAGAGGTCTTACCGCTGCTATAGTAGCGTGCCCGAATTTCAGTATTGCCTGTTCTGTTGATTCTAGACGAGATTTCAGGTTCTAACGAATAAATCCCTTTTTTTTATTATAACCTTCATTAAAAGTGTGAAGGATAACATTTCTTTATTCTCTCGTGATTTTGTAGCAAGTGCAGAAATATGTAGTATCTATCATGTACAGGCAGTACAGGTATTAGTACTGTAATAAGAAACCGCCAATAACCTTATTAATGATTTTCGTTTGTACAGACAGATCTTCCAAGCTAAACAAAACGTAGACGAAAAGTCTTTTATTGTATAGATTTGGAAGAGTGTACCTAGTCTGTTTCATTATAGTACCATATAACATCGCCGAGCACCACCACCATATATGTCAGACATTTAAAGCGTTTGGCAGAATACGTAAGCATTCACGAGGGCCATCGAACGGGTTTGATGACATAGAAGAAGAAACCGACACGGCCACCACCTCTTTGTACGAAGCATTTCGCTTCGTATATCCTTGTGTGAATCGCTGAGGAGTGGAATGCTTTGTGTTTCCTCAAAAATATAAATTGAGTGTCTATAATTCCCAACTGAACAATTTGTTTATAGGTAGGCGTACGCCATCTTCGCTATCCACTAGGCAAATTGGTTTCCAAACGCCCTAAATACTTAAAACTTAAAAATCATGCGGTCATATTATGACCTATAGGTACATACAAGTCAATGCTAAATTTTACATAGTGCTGTAAATAATTAAACTATTGTTACAGATTCGACACAAGATACTCATCCAATGATTTGCCTAAATCGCCGCTTATGTCATATGAAAATCAAGTATTCTCTGACTCCTGTCCTGGCAACGAAGGGTACAGGTAAAATAAAGCTTTATCAAAGTACTATACTAGAAATAGCCTAATGGAACCGTATTTTTTTAATATTTTTCTCCTTTTAAGGAGTGTATGATTAAAAATTTAAGTCTCCTCTGAACCTTACCTTCAGAAGCAAATAATTCCATATTCATTTTCATTTAGCAAAAACAAGGCGTGTGTTTTTACTACAATAAAACATTATCTTCATACTATGAAGTACGAGAAAAGCTGTTTACATATTTTATGAGTTAAAATTCTATTTGAATTCGTTTTCAGTAGAGCAAAACGTCTTGATGAAGAAGGTGGCGTCAAAAACGTGTACTGCTTGGCTTTGCCGCCGTATGCTGGTGAGGATACCGACCCTATACACGGTGGCATGTTGCTCGTAGGAGGGAAATTAGTCGCCTTATACTTACAGGTATATATATAATTAAAATAATAACTATCCAAGAAATACTAAAGAATATTCAAGTAATTAATTCAGGGAATTACTGCTGAACAAATATTATTATCTTTATATATAAAAATGGATCGCAAAATGTGTTGGTAAGCGCATAACTCAACAACGCCTGGACCAATTTTGCTAATTGTTTTTTTGTTGTGTTTGTTATTGTCAGGAGAAGGTCCTTATTAAAGAAAATATTGTAAAAGTAGAAGGGAAGATCAGGAAAAAGTGTCCCTTTGATAGCGAGATAGTTAGACCCGTGCGAAGCGGGGGTGGGCCGCTAGTTAACAATAAAACAAGACTTCGGTACTTTCCTTAGTAGGCGGTTTTCGAACTGGAGTAATGAATTTTTATTTCTGGAATTAATCTGTTTACTTCCCATTTAAAGAAACCTTAGTGGTACTACCGTGTCTTTAGTATATACCAATTTGTTGGTTCAATGGGTTGCGTATAACATATGACAATTATAATAAAATCCTTCGTAGTTAGTGGATGCGATTATTAAATCAATCATAATAAAAATAGGCATACATTTTTATGTAGACTTCCAAAGGTACGTGATAAACGGTTTTGCCAGTGTTGTGTTGTGTGTTTAGTTTTATTTATACTAATGTTATAAAGAGGTAAAATTTGGAAGTTTTTATGTAGGGGGTAATCTGTGGAACCGCTGGTCGAATGGCCAAAATTCTTTCACTGATAGATAGCTACAATATCCCTGAGTGCTATAGGCTATCAAACATCTCGCTACGGTTAAAGGCAGCCGAGCAGCGGGTGAAACCGCGCGAGAGTAGCTAGTGTAGGATAAAGCGGAAAGCGAGCAGACGGATTACCTGATGTTAAGCATTCGGCACCGTTCATACTAGACTGGTTACAAGTGCGCAGTCGCTCTTTTGTGAGTTGTTCGATGTATGTTATATTTGAATCTATTTACGCATAATAATATGATATTACCACTACATTATGCTACATAGTGTTTTGCAGTCATGAAACTAACAGACCCATGAATAAAATTAATTGCTTCTGTAATTGGTGATTACCCTTAGTTGTACCAAGTTTCGTTACAATCTGTCCAGTAGATTTGTTTCTATAAGGAAGAGATTTAGAGATTTCGTTTTTTGGCATCAGTTTCAATAATTAATCACCCTCTGATAGTTTATCTTCAAAATATATTTCATGTACAGAATTGACCTCTTTACAGATTTATTAAAAGTATAGATTTATTTTGAACTGAGTGCACTTGTGTGAATTCAATTTTTTTGTTGGTGTGTAGACAAACCTGTCCATCGTGATAATTCGAGACACAATATGAAAACAATAGGTGCGCGAACGCCGAAGTTAATAAATATAATCAAATGATTTCGCCCGAGATGGTTTTTAGTTACTTTTAGTCTCACACCCGGTTTCTGAAAGGATTGCCAACGCTAAAATTAACTAATCTCCTGTTAAATCTCTTGTCAAGTCATCTGATTGGTTGTCGATAATTCAGTCAACCAATCAGATGACTTGACAAGAGATTAAATTGATTTTAACATTGATCGGCCTTTCGGAAACCGGGTGTTACCCACGCAAAGCGAGAGAAGCCACAAGACAATTTACCCACCTCAAAAAAAAAAAAATAGTGTCTACTCTACGGAAGAAGATAACATAATGTTATCTTTAATTCGAATATTTATTTAAAAATATTTTCTTTTCTTTTTTAAATTGAATATCCCCGTTGTTGCCAGTTACATAAGATTTCCATTTTGTAACTAAGTCCTCTGGTTTAGTAAAGCTCTTATACAGCTTACGCAAAACCAACCACGGCTGCAAACTGCAGACACAGAGCCTCGTTGCTCGAACGATCACAAGATATTTAATTTCTATTCTAAGGTCAGACCAAAGTTTTTTGAAAGAGTCATCTTGAAACAATCATCAGAACTAATAATAAGAAAGTTCAAAATCATGATTTTGAGTGCACGGTTGGTGCGGTGGCTAGGTAACTGGCTGCCGTGCAACGTGTTGTGGGTTCGATTCTCGCACGGAACAACTCTTTGTATGATCCACAAATTGTTGTTCCGGGTCTGGGTGTCATGTGTTTGTGAAATTGTATGTTTGTAACCGCACCCACGTCACAGGAGGAAATTCTAGAGAGGGGCAACCATTTTTAAAAAAAACGTTACTTAAATAAATTCTCTCATTATTGTTCCTGTTGTTGTAGTGGAAAATACGACTAAACGGTTCGTTTTCTCCCTTTCTTTTGTGTGCTAGTATAATGCTATTACAGAAATCATGCTTTGTCTGGCTTCTCATTTCCTGGTTTCTGTCAACTGCGTGAGAATAGTGCGCGTCGGCTTATAGCGACACTCCTTAATCTAGTAGTGTTAGGATTGCTTTATCATAACTGTCGCCTGTATATCTTATTTTATCTCTTGAATAATGTAATTTAGCTTGGGTTTAGTTAGGTTCTATTTCAGGAAGATTATTTAGGTACTTAGATTTGCTTTGGGTGATTTCATTTGTGTGAGTTCTGCGTTTATACAGAATACAACTTGCGTTTATATTTGCCCCAGCCGCCGCAATAGGCGACATTCTGGGCGTCGGGGATCGAGAGATGATCTCCGGCCACCGTAAGCACGGGTCTGCGGTCGGCGAGTAAGGGCAGCTCGCCGCCCGACCAGAACCAGGCCCGAGCCTACGGCGCGTAGCGTTCCGCGCGTGCCTCAATGAGCCAATAGACCACCACAGACGGGGCCCTATAAGGCTGATGTTCAGCCGGGGTTGCGGGGTAAGCGCAATGAGGCACCGCGACCTCGGCTTAGGGCAGGAGAAGGAACAGGGGGGTTTTTAGTCAGTAAGAGTCTGACACTTCCTCCCGGCCAGCCCTGGGCAGAAGGAGCCATTTGATGATTTTCCCCTCACAAAAAAAACTTGCGTTTATAGTTAGGGTCACATTTTTCAAAAAAGATCTTACGGGAATTGGGAGCATGGACGGGATATAGCTAGTATAACTTGTAAATGAGTAATTTTATGTAAGGTCGTTACAGTAGGCAGGTACCAAAATAAAAGTTGGTTCAGTACAGAAGCACTAGCCATTATTTCGCTCATAAGATCACCATCAATTTTATTGTTACCAATAACTTAAAGAGAAACGATAATTAGTAACCATATAGTTAGTTTATGTATTACAATAGCTCTTGCCTCAGAATTGAGATACTCTTTATTTTCTTACCAGCACATCAAATCACTATGAAAATGAAATATGTTCAATGTGAAAAATATATCAATTATTTATCTGGTAACAATAAATTACCAGTGATACATCACGAGAAGAAATAAATTTTCGAAATCAAATCATCCATGTAACTTCATAGTCACCAATTCAAAAGACTCGACAAGGTCCATTAAACAAAAAACATTGCGATAAATGCAAACGTAGATTTGTTTGAAGAACTTTAAAACTTCACTCCGTTATTAATTGTCTTCGACTTTGAATGAAAAAAGAAAAGTCGGCTCTGTGCTAATGAACTGGAAAGTCCTAAATTGATTGCGAAGCTTTTTTCATTTAGAACGATCAGAAATTACAAAACAGCATTCTTGACGACGAATAAATTTGTGCCGCAAAATCTTTTAACGTGGTGAGAATCCATTAGCTGAAATCACTGTAGAAATTATCATACGGAAATATACCATTACAGTATCAGGCAGTATATTACATAAAAATATAATTTATGAACTGTTGGCATTGATGGCAATTCTTTTAATAAATTAAGAATCCTACTACGTTTTTTTGAGATCAACAATTAAATTAATTAAGAAAAAACACAAATTTTACACATAGCAACATTTTATATTTAATGACATTTTTATCAATTGTACAATACCTGGACCAAGCTCGCTATTTTTTATTTATTTTATGAAAATGAAACCTAACTAGCTAACATATTGATTTTTTTGCACCCTTTTTTTGAACCCTTCACATTTTCGAGAAACCGGCGTGAAACAACCACAGTGTTGTGTTTCGCTGTGTGAGTGAGGTAACCGGAGGCCCAATCCTTCCCCTCCCCCAATTCCTCCCCAATCCCTCAATCTCCAAATCCCTAATCCCCAAAAGGTCGGCAACGCAGTCGTAACTCCTATGTTGTTGCGGGTGTCTATGGCGGCGCTGATTCCTTACCATCAGGTAATCTGTCTGCGTGAGAAATAACATGAAATTCCCCTCAAAAAAAGTGGTACATAATTGCATTTTCTCAGCTACCTTAGCAGCCCTATTGGGACCCATGGTCTTTAAGCTTTTTGCAGCGCGCGCACAACGTAACGTACTGGCTCTACTTGGGTGGTGAGCTACCCTTGCTTGTCAGTTTACATTTCAAATGGCTTGAGATCCTCGCGCGATCCCACAACGCCCTAAGTGTCTCCTACTGCGGTTCCCCACCTCCTTGTCTCCGAGCATCACTGCTTTACAGAAAGAGGAGTTGTCTTCCTAGTTGCTCTCGCTTCCCACAACAGCCTCGAATAAAGCCGGACGCTAGAATTTGCCGCCACCGATCACTTTCCATAGGACACGGTGGTTATCAATTAATCTGGGCACATTATACCGTGTTTTCCGGAATAGTACTCACGGTGACGAAACCTGGGCGTTTCCTCCCCCTTTTAAATTGAAGCTAAACATTCTAAATTCGGTACACATATCACTAACTCAAGTGAAACACCTGACAACATAAATAATGTAGTAATGAGATTCGGAAGATGTTTAACTTTACCAACTTCGTAGGAAATTTCAATCTCGGGGTTTATCGTTATCGTTGATATTAGTTTATTTCAATAAACTCATAATACGTACGAGTTATATAACATTTTAATGCCTTTAACACGCTTTAGTAATGTAATGACTAATTTATTTTATGGTACACTACTTATTCTTGGAATCACTCACTGTATAAATTTCAGTTAAAAATACTTCCTAAAACTCATAGCTCGTGTGTAGCTCATGTTTTGCAATTAAAGTTCATCATAATCAGTTCAGTTCTTTAGAAGAAACTTATCAACTATCAAATACAATTTAGAATTAAACATCTACTATCTAACTTTTAAACCATAAGTTCATCTAACCTTATTATCATATGGTAAAAATCTTAAACGTAGACCTTCATGCATGTTTTGTTCTAAGATTTACAATTACTCTTAAGTGGGGATATTTATTGTGACGGGAAGCTATGGAACCCTACACTGAGTGTTGCCCGATACGCTCTTAGCTGTTTTTTTAATAATTCTCATCTTTCTGACGTCTATTCTAAAGTTTATCGTAAGTGTATCGTATCTTAGAGTTAAAGTAATATCGTAAACGTTATTATATGTAAGTACCAACCGTACTGTACTTACTTGGCAATTGTGCAAAGCTCTACGGAAGTGCAATACAATACACTTCCTAGACAAGCGGAGAGAGAAGCCAACTAGCTATTCGAACGACCGGGAACCGGCGACCGCCCGACCACAGCTAAGTTTCGCAAGCTAATCACTGTCATGACCTAACAATCTTGCTGTTAATTTCCATATAGCACAAATCTTATTAAATTGGTTCAAGGATTTAATTAAAATTACATGATTTTCCCTCAAATACTAGGAGAGCCTTATTTATCACGGTAGATCTCTAGTTGCTGTTATAATAAAGGCGACGATGGACACAATGTTCACTTTTATGCTAACTTTATAAGAATTGTTTTTGTATAATTGTAACTAAATACATACATGAGACAAGTAGTAACATTTCCCGTTGAAGTTGGTAATAAATACGTATATTTTTGGCGAAAAATCAGATTGTATTAATCTGCTTCATTGAATGAATCTATCATGCTCTTGACTAACAAAAAAACAGCATCAATTTAAAATCAAATTGAAAATTTTGTCAAAGTGAAAATTCTGTACCAAATGAAAGTTTTTAGTTCTGACTTACTTACGTTAGCTTACTGGAATAATTTTACTAAAAATGTCTCATAAAGTTTCATATATCCACGTACACTAGACGGTCTCGAAGCTATTTTTAATTATACAGATGAAAATATTTTTCTCATTAAATTCTCACTTGGGAATTTCTAGCAATGATATTTTATTGTGCGCCGTTTTAATATCACTGTTGTTCTTTATTTACTTTTTTACTTTTTATTTAAATATAATTATTTATACAACAAAAATGTGTTACATATAAAAGACATGTATTCTGTAGTTAATTGGTTTAAAATAGAATATGTACATAATTTATAGCATCAACCATACCGCATCATGATTCTCACATTCTTACTTTTAAAATGATTTGGTAACAAACATAATCTGGTTGGAAAATCATCCAGTTTCTTCTCTCAAACAGAGTGGGGAAAGAAGTGTTGTCAGTCTTTTAATTACTAAAACCAACTACCGCACCAACCAAAGAAAAGAATATTTTCCTCGTGCTTATCGGTTCGCGATACACCCATTTTACTCCTTTATTACTCCAGCAGAACTACTGCCCTAATCGGCCCCATCTGTAGTGGTAGCGCAGAACAAACGCGACGGAGTATTTACTAAGTATGTTTTTTACCAGGAGGAAAGACGGCCTTGGGGCGACCAAAGTGCGCAGTACACCGGTATCTGGCGACTTGTCCCTTGGGTGCTCGATGTAGCTCGAGAGAATGAGGATGTCGACGCTTTCACGCTCGATATTTAGGTAATTTTATGTTCATTTTATCTTTTATTGAGATAATTTTGTAATTTTATTTACATCTTTTTTGTAATTTTATTTTTAATTTTGCTATTTTTGTATTTTTTTATCACTTTTTGTGTGTAATCTGTTGTTATACTGTTTTTTTTTTTTAATATTGTTTTACTTATACTTATTTGTGGTTTTGTGATAAGTAATTTTATCGTCATATATGTTTTGTTTAAAAGCGATTTTGTTGTTTTTTTCTTCGAAAATAATCATACTACTGCGCGTAATAATTTTGAGTAATAATCTCAAACTTCCATAATAGGTACTGTGCTAAGAACTTATTTTTCGAAAAATAACAGCCTATGAAAAATTGTCCAGCATGAATCTTATTAAAACACAAAAATATACATCGAAAGCCCATCGCAATCGGTATTAAGTATAAAAACAACTTGAATGGGTAATTTTATTCATAGAATATCTTTATATTTTGGAGACTGTTCAAAAATATACGGATATGTACTAAGTTTTGTTTTATCTTAGACATCAACGGCCTTATTACAAAACAAGGTTTTACTTTAGTCTAGGACTAAACCATTAAGTCAGTTTTCGTATTTCGAATTGAAGGTAGATGACAATAAGATTCAAAATTCAAAACCCAACTCAATGGTTTAAACCTGGACTAAAGATAAACCTTGTTTTGTAATAAGGGGGCAAAAGTTTGCTTGTCCTAGGACTCAATCTATGTCACAACATTACAATAATCTTAAAATGGCAAATGAAACAATAGGGTAAAAAACTTAGAGAGACTTTATTTATCATTATTACTTAAATTTACTTATATTTAAATAAAATAAAACAAAAAAAAACTTTGCAAAGTGCTCACAAAACATGATTTAAATTTTAATAAAATCGTGAATAACAATCAAATATTTTTTTTATTTACATATAGTTGGAAAAATGTCTTGTTATGAACAGTTTTAATTATAATTTCTTATGAAAAGTTTCTTAAGGTGTTGTTAAAAGTTTAACGTTGCTTCTAACTGTAGTTTTATGAACTTTGGTTAGTATAAAAAAATAGATTTCTGTCGGAATAAGAAAACATGGAAATCGTTAATATTAAAATCGTTAATTAATTGTTAATAACCCCCGGTTTGATTTGGATCAATGTTAAAATCAATTGAATCTCTTGTCAAGTCATCTGATAAGTTGACTGAATAATCAACAACCAATCAGATGACTTGACAAGAGATTTAAAGGAGATTAGTTAATTTTAGCGTTGACAAGCCTTTCAGAAACCGGGTGTAAGTCTTTTTAACCGGGTGTAAGTCTTTTAAAGATACAAGTTTCTATGGTATTTAGGTATTGTAGGACTGAAGAAATGCAACTTGATACATTCTTTATAACAATTAATGAACTTTTTAAATTACAAATTCCCATGGTTCCAACTATGAGAAGATAAAAACAAACATTCGAGATAATGGTCTTAAAAATCATAGAAATCTTTCGGTAATGATCAAGTATTATGAAGTTAATTTTCAAATTGTTATCAGTAATAGATATGTTACGTTAATATGAAGTCATAAAGACAAATAGTATGTATCGAAACTCGATAACGTTACATTTCTACCTATTACATTACTAGGATACATTCGCTTCCAATATATTATAATGTATCCATCGTCAATAATGTTAGGTAATACACGGAGCCATAAATTGACCTTTTAGGTGAAGTTATGAACTTAACCTTGAACTTCCTTCGTTTCAAATGAGGTCATGAGAGAAAATAGGCATAAATGTACAGACTGTCCTTGTTTCATAAATAAAAGTTGTCACAGATATGATAGATTTATTCTAGAACTCCTCAATAAATCTTGCTTCTCATTTTTTCACGTTTGTATACAGATAGATTTGTGAGGACCGATATGTAGTGTACAGAACTTGATTCTTTGGAACATTGGGTGTATTTCACTCATACGTATGAATTACAAAGAAGTCCAAAGTAAACGTTGAATGCGTTTTAACATCACATGGTAAGAATAAAAATTGATACAACCAATAGGTCCTGGTAACCACAACTGCGAAAAACAAGGGCTTCGAACCTTTTGCGGTTTCAGTCGAAATACTTCTTGTTCATTACATCACGCATCCACGACACGTAGCCCGCGGTCCGCGTGTAAATTCCGTACTTGCCCCGCTTACCGCAACCATCGCCGAAACTCGTGATACCCTGTCAATGAAAATTATTGGTCATTTAATGTGGACTGCTAAAATAGAACACCCTTTTACATACATACATGACAATACATTTGGAAGGTTTGATGTGGTAAGTAGTAGTAAATACAAAACACAGTAAGTATACCAAAGAGTCCTTTTGATTATGAATTTCTTAGTAACATAAGGGAGTTTATATCCGCCGATGGTATAATTTGGATTAGGGTAAAAAATATCGATTCACTGATCCGAATTTTTAAACGTTGCCTAATAATACTAAATTTTTTCATATACCCGGAATAACTTCGACTGCACGGTTGGCGCGGTGGTTAGGCTGCCGCGCAGCGTGTCGCGGGTTCGATCGGAACAACTCTTTGTGTGATCCACAAATTGTTGTTCCGGGTCTGGGTGTCTTGTGTAGGTGAAATTGTTGTTTGTGTACCCACGACACAGGAGAAAATCCTAGCGTAAAAGTGTCCATAAAACTATTTATGTTTCACGTAAATAGTGTCATTGCGCGAACCGTGCAGTCATTTGCATTCCTACACCAATTAAAGTGCTTTAAACCAAATTAAACTGTTACTTGAACACGTGTACATAACAATAACATTGTTGTACGCGAAATTTGAAATGTCACCCTAACACATGCGCGGAAAAACTTTCCATGGCTGAACACAAATGTACGACGATTTCCCAACAATGTGTTTTCATTTGAAAACTTTTAATTAGATTTGAAAAAAGTACGAGTTTGTATCGAGCAGGCTGTGTGATTGCTTCCAATAAAGTTGTAGCACATTCGATACATTGTGAATGGGAAATGGACGTTGCTAAAGGCAACAGAAATTCATTGAGTTTACAACAAATTACAATCTTAAATGCGACGCATAACGAACACCAATGTAATGACACATGCAAAAATTTTTTCATTTTTACAAATCACACTTTAGATAAGTACAGTTTTCCTCTTAAAGGATGGAATTCCGATTGCTTACCATCAGGTGGTCCTGATGGAAACCTGTAACACCGGAAGAGTTATAAATGCGTTGCCAGTTTTTTTTAAATTCGGAAATGAAGGATTGCTTTCGAGGTGTTGAAGATTAGGTCCTCTTTTTTTATCAGTGGAAAATCTTCAAATGGCCTCTTCTGCCCAAGGAAGGCGAGAGAGAGTGGCAGACTCTTACTGACTAAAAACTCCTTCTCCTGCTCTGGGCCGAGGCCGCGGTGACTCATTGCGCTTAACCCGCAACCCCGGCTCAAGATTACGGTATCTACACTTCGTAACACAAAACGAATAATTCAAAAAAGTATTTTGTGACAACATGGTATCGAACGACCGACTCATTCGTGCCAGTACCAACATGGTTGTCCCACACTGTGATCTTATTTTTTTTATTACATGTCACGTCAGCCAACTGCACTTTAAATAATTCGTAATGTTTATTCCCAAAGATTTGATATATTAGAACAGCATGTCTGAGATGTATGAGAAATAAGCTTTGCTCCCTGTTCTTGAATAGGCGCTTTACAAAAGATCAGCAGTAAACTCGCTCATAATTATTTTATAAAAAGATTATTTTAGCATATGTTTTGATAACATGCAAATAAAGAATTTCAATTATCTATATTTGCCATTTACACATACTTATGCTTTTCCTTTCCTAATGTAGTATGTACGTAATAATAATAATTGTCCATCCTTTCTAGGCGATCTGGAATAAGAAATTCGCATATCTACTGAACTGAGAATAATATGAATGAACAAGTGAGAAAATTTCTATTCGTTACTTACACAAACTCGTACGAAAATTCGAGTAGGTAAAAGGTTTTATTGCCTTTAGTATCCCAAAACGGGCCATTGAACTTCGTATTGCGAATAAAATTCGATCTAGTTCTATTGCGATTATTCCGTTTATACAAAAGTATGTAGGAAGGTATCTGTGCATTTTGTCCATTGCTTTGAAATTTGACAGTTAAAATAATTCAATATTTACACTTTGCTATCTTTTTAAATATTGATAGCCCCGAGAAAGTGTTTGAACATTAGCTAATGCTTATTTCTATAACATTAATAACTAGCTTCCGCCCGCGGCTTCGCCCGTATGGTATGTTGATAAAAAGTAGCCTATGTCCTATTCCGGTGTGTATTGCCTGAGCCAAATTCCATCCAGATCCGTCCAGACGTTTTGGAGTAATTGAGTAACAAACATCCAAAAATCTAAACATAACGTAAGTTTCACATTTTTAGTATTAGTAAGATAAGTACCTACTCAATCGGTCACGTCGACAAGGTAATGCAAAATGGATGTATTCAACAGTGTTTAAGGGATTATCAGAGACAATTAAGTCCTGTCATTTCCATCGTTTTACCGCAGACAAATAACATTCTAGAACATCAAGCATAAATGTCGGTTTTAAACATTTAAAATATGTCCAGATAAATGCAAATTGCTAAGAGCATTACCTTTGTTAAGTTTACGGCACTCTGCCATTTAATTTGAGATCCTCAAAAATTATCCTTCGCTAATGTTCGATAAGCTTCTTGCTTTTTTGTCAAATTGTAAAATGTCACGTTCATTTTACTGCAATTGAGAGGAATCTTTTTATAAAGGTTTATAAAGCAACAGTGAGGTGGGGAATAGGGATATTCGGTACTGACAAACATTAACTCGTTATGCGTTATGTAGGTTGGGTTATATTTAATATGATTTTTAGTTTGTAAAATAAGGCAGTGGTCTTAACGTCATTGTTGAGCAACAAGGATATTATTATCATTTAAAGTAGTGTAATTTGACGAGATTTCGTGCATGGGGATTATAGAAACTACTCTTTAGGGGTGGTGCTTGGTTCTGTGTTCAGTAGGTAACGAATATTTTTTTTCATTTGTCGTTGTCTAGTAAATGCGACACAACTTGTCCAATCACGTTTTAGTAACAATCATTGACCTAATTAACTTAGTTTAGTAGGCCAACAAAATTATATTATTTGAAAACATTTTTTTTTATCTTGTTGATCGAATAAAATCTATTTAAATTATAAGTAACACGATTGTCTTTCGAGATATTTTTCAAAGACGAAAATACATTAAATTTGTAAAATAAAAAAGGTGGAAGAAAATACGAAACTAAAGAGGTTTTCACAATCAGCATCTCGGAAGTGTCCGCGGGTGTCTGTACCTGTCCCGAATTGCAGAGCAGTCACTATAAATGCGCACGTTTCTATTTATTAACCGGGAATAACACCTGGCTCAAAGTAGGGCTGTCCCATTTCTTAAATGGCTCGACATTAGTATTTACCAACTTTATTTTCATTTGTAAATACAAACAAGTACTCCAAACAAATAGGAGTACTTATAAATATCCTTAGTTTTCTTTGTTCTCTTTAAATGTAGGGATGGCAATTTTTATAATTTGTGGGTTTGTTTTATAGTTGATTTCTATTTTTTAACCGACTTCCGAAAAGGGGGATGGTTTTCAATTTGACCGTATAAATACTTTTTTGTTCACCGTTATGTCTCCGTTATTTTTAAACCAACTTTGATAATTCTTTTTTTTAACCACTCATCCTTAGTTTTCAGTAACATCAGAGTACCTATATACTGAAGATACGCATTACAACCTGTCTACTGAATTACAGATAACAATATTAAATTCCCATTCAGTGAATTCCGTTTCGATCCAGGCATGTAACATTATCACATTAGCGGTCAGTACTTACGTTCAACCGGGACATTTCCATTATCTCTGACAGGACTATTACAGATAATAATAAGCGTTATACGAGTATTGCGAATGTAATAATGTTATTATTACACGGTTCCTGTTAATATGTGTGTATTGGTATTTGCATCGAATAAACTAATAATGATCAAACGTAGTATAAGCAGATGATAAAACAAATCAATCGGTTGAATCTCCAATGTGGATCCAAGTCTAAAATAAAAGAAAGGTTAATTATTCATGCAATTTGAAACTATTGCAAATTTAAAGATTCAAGTAGTATTTTTTCATAAAAGATCACCCTTTGCTTTAAATGACAAAGTTAATATTAAAAATAAATTCAATTTTCGTTGGATATAAAATTTACGTGATATGTTGCAATTGGTACACACGGTATGCATGGGCCGGCTCGACCAAAGTAATTCTACAGTCTCATAGAAAACCAGCGTGAAGCAACGCTTGCACTGTATTTTTAAGTGGGGTTACCGGAGGCCAATTTTTCCCCCCATTCCAATCACAAAAGGCCGGTAACACACTTGCAACTCACCGGCTGAATGGCAGGTTGCCGCCCTATGCCATAAAAAAAATAACATTTTGTTCTTTTGTTCATCTACTTTGGTAGCACCTCTACGTTTTTAGTTCTCTATTTTTTTCTGTTCCATTTTCGAATGTTTTGTTTGACAAAAAAACGTGCGAACACTTGATCATTGATTAATTATTAATTCGCTTATAGTTTGTTATATTAAAAGGAAAATGGAAGGCGTTCTAAATCCTCCTAAAATAATGTTTGTATTCGAAGACCTTTCCGTGGATTTTCACGGAGCGATTCTTTGTTGTTCGGTATTCTTTTAGCTTTTCCATTTTCGTGTTTTTTTTTTCAATCAACATAGTCGATATTAAAAAAGTAAGTATTCTGTTTTAGCGGTCAGTACTTACGTTCAACCGGGACATTTCCATTATCTCTGACAGGACTATTACAGATAAGCGTTATACGAGTATTGCAAATGTAATAATGTTATTATTACACGGTTCCTGTTAATATGTGTATATTGGTATTTGCATCGAATAAACTAATAATGATCAAACGTAGTATAAGCAGATGATAAAATAATTAAATTAATCGGTTGAATCTCCAATGTGGATCCAAGTCTAAAACAAAGGAAAGGTTAATTATTCATGCAATTTGAAACTATTGCAAATTTAAAGATTCAAGTAGTATTTTTTCATAAAAGATCACCCTTTGCTTTAAATGACAAAGTTAATATTAAAAATAAATTCAATTTTCGTTGGATATAAAATTTACGTGATATGTTGCAATTGGTACACACGGTATGCATGGGCCGGCTCGACCAAAGTAATTCCACGGTCTCACAAAAAACCAGCGTGAAACAACGCTTGCACTGTATTTTTAAGTGGGGTTATCGGAGGCCAATTTTCCCCCCCATTCCCAATCACAAAATACCGGTAACACTCTTGCAACTCACCGGCTGAACGGCACCCAGTTTGCCCTATGCCATAAAAAATATAAATAATAATAGAATATCGTTCTTATGTTCATCTACTTTAGTAGCACTTTTACGTTTTTAGTTCTCTATTTTTTTCTGTTCCATTTTCGAATGTTTTGTTTGACAAAAAAAAAACGTGCGATCATTGATTATTAATTCGCTTATAGTTTGTTATGTTAAAAGGAAAATGGAAGGCGTTCTAAATCCTCCTAAAATAATGTTTGTATTCGAAAACCTTTCCGTGGATTTTCACGGAGCGATTCTTTGTTGTTCGGTATTCTTTTAGCTTTTCCTGATTTTCGTGTTTTTTTTTCAATCAACATAGTCGATATTAAAAAAGTAAGTATTCTGTTTTATATTTCCATTATATGTTAGCTAACAAAATAAGTATTTTCAAATTACTCAGAAGTTTTTTGGTACTAGCTGACATAGTATCACTTCAACTTTTTTATACCAATAGCTTACGGGCCATGATTATTGAGAGAAGTTTTGGCTATGATCTTAAACAAACTCTGGAGTCCTATTTTTTGACACATTACTTTAACTTCTAGGTCACAACTGATGTAAGATTGCTATCTAGAAAATAAATAATTACCTGAGCGTGGATTATTATTTATTTCCTAAACTCGACAGCCCTGGCAAAATATGCATACCATGTTCCAGCGCCATTAATTTTACAAGACAACGGTTTGTTAATTCTGTTTATTATAAAACCAGAGCCATTTAGGAAAACCACACAGGGTACACGTAGCCTAGTTTGGAATTATTAGAGAGAAAATCTTTTAATTCATTGTATTTTGTCTTTGGTAGCACATTATGAGTATGACTTCTAATATTCCAATTAAAATTATAATTTTCTTAACATCCGTTCGCTCTTATACTCATATGTTATTACGTGGACAATGGTGTGGGTTATACGGAGGTTATACCTACGTTATTACAACTGTAATGTCACTGCTTTATTGTTAATTCTGCAATGTATAACTGTTTTTTGTCCCAAATAAATAAATACACGTCATGGTTAACGCAGTGACTGGGCAACTAGCTACTGTGCAACGTGTCGCGGATTTGATAACCACACGGAACAACACTTTGTGTAATCCACAAATTGTTGTTTCAGGTCAGGGGCCACCCATGTGAGTTTGTATGTTTGTAAATGCACCTACGACACAGGAGATAATCCTAGAGTGGGGCAATGTTTTTAATAAAAATAAAATAAACAGAAAGTGTCAAGTATTTCACAAAAAAACAATAAAAATATGCACTGCCCTTAATTCACATGTCACAAAATACTTTCTGAAGTCATATGTAGGTAGTACCTAGGTGTCAACTAACCAAGTATTTCGTATATAAACAGAGCCAACTGACTGTATTAATTTTTTAACTTTCATTTCCGTTATTTAAAATTTAATTCAACTTTTAGTACATTTACAGTATTATGAAAGGGTCGGCCATGATTACTCGACGGCGACCGCCAATTCAAAACTTCCTAATTTTCTTTGTTCTTAGTTCATTTCTCTCTTAAGACCTTTTGTTCTTTGAAATCGTATTTATTTTTTCCATTAAAATAAAAGTGTGGTGATTATTGTTGATTGTCTTATGAAGAGTTATAAAAGTTTAAGTGTCCAGAGGAATTCAGCTGAGAATCACAAAGTTTCCTCAAAAAATTAACATGTTTTTTAGGAAAATGAGATTTTTTAAATAAATTAAATCTCAACGTTCCTCAATAGTTATGAGACTTGCTCGGCATAATGAACAAGGAACAATTTATTTTAAATTCAGAATATTTTTTTAGTCATAGCACACCCAGGTACCTACCCGAAACCAAGGAAAAATGCTAATAATGTAGTATGCGCCCTTATGTCTTACAGAGAAGAATTGCTATTTAAGGTAGATGTATGCTACATTTAGTAGAACTTGCTTACTTCTTGTATCTGCGACTAGATTGTCTCTGCATCACCTAAAGGTTGACTGGAAGCGAATGCTCATTGAATTAATAATAATTATAATAATAAACACCGCCACGACCAAGTTGCAGCAATTATCCACCAATCCTTAGCTATCCAGACCAAATTAATCACAGAGAAAATAGCATATTATTAATATAAACCGCAAACAGTATTAGAGAATGACAGTTTCAAGTTGTATTGGGACAGAACTATTATAACTGACAAAACAATTTACAATAATAGACCGGATATTACAATGATAGATAAACGAAAAAAAACTGTGTACATAATAGACATAGCTATATGCAATACCCACAACCTAATTACCACGCATTCGGAAAAAATAGCAAAATATACTGACTTATCTATGGAACTCAAAACGCAATGGAATATAACCCACACCAAAACTATACCTATCATTCTGTCGACCACAGGGGTCATCCCAAAAAACCTCCACAGCAGCCTCCATTCTTTAAATATTAGTCCAGCCACCTATCTGCTTTTACAAAAAGCAGTAATCTTAAATACATGCCGCCTAACTCGAAAATTTTTAAACACTTAGTGTTATATATTATTACAAATTTTAAGTTTAATGCACTTGGCTTCGGCCCGTGCCTCTTTTAAAACCCCACTATGATGGGAGAAATATAAGATATGACAAGAAATAATAATAATAATTTATTTAACCAAAAAATACAGAACTCTTAATTTCTAATTACACAAGCAACTTAAATACATCTTAATTATGACATCAATTAAGTCCACCTTATGTACAGTGTTTTGTGGATACCTAAATAAATCAATCTTACTCTTACTAATATTAAAAATGCAAAAGTTGTTGTATAAAACAACAAACATACGTTTGGATGTTTGTTACTCAACCACGCCAAAACGGCTAGACGGATCTGGACAAAATTTGGCACAGATATGGACTTAGGCTTTTATCAACATACCATTCAGACGAAGCTGCGAGTAATTAAATAAATATTTATTACCTGTAAGAAATATCTCATGGTGCGATCCCTGCAGAGTAGTGGTCCCCCTGAATCCCCGGCGCAGGAGTCTCTGCGTCCTCGTCCCGCGCAAACCATGTCGTCTGTTATAGCATACTGCCAGTATGAACGGCGGCACACACTCTGTTGTATTGTTGACACCTGAATAATAAATGAGTATTATTACAAACGAACCTATACAATCTTAATAAAATAATGGGCATTTTGTTTCATATATCACATCACATATCAGAAAGTAAAAGTTAACTAAATACCTATATATACATTAAAAATCTGAGCAGTAAAATATGAACACAGGCAGTGGCGCTAAAGTTAAGGACAAATCAAGTTTTAGTATGTTGTCTCTCTTTGTCGAATGCTCGGAGCGAGTTTGTATTCATCCAATGGTCAAATGTATTAATAAATAAATCAAATTAATAGGGGACAGAAAATAAATTCCTATTGTCATATTCCGTCTTTCTAAAGTTCCTACACCAAGAAGTATGCGATAAGAGGCCTCATTAAAAAACAAATTAATAAACGCACAGGAGTCTATGAATAGACATATTTCCATATTAAATCTTATAAAGACTTGGAAACATTCTATTTTAAACAAAAACCATTATTCAATATTCTAATCGCAATTTCTCAGTCGAATGCTTTTGTTCCGCTGTAAGCGAATGTAATAGACATCTCATTTCCTGGAACAAATACATTAAGTGCAAAATGATCGTTTTGTGAATGCTTGAAACACTTGTATACTAATATTATAAAGAGGCGTATGTAGGGGCGCACCTATAAAACTGCTGGTCGGATTTCCTAAATTCTTTCAGTGGTAGATAGCTAAGTTTGTATGTAAAGGTAAAATTTGGAGCCGCTGGTCAAATTTCCAAAATTCTGTCGCTAATAGATAGCTACAATGTTCTTGATTATAAGACATCACGCTAAGATCAAATGGAGCCGAGCCGGGCGAAACCGCACAAGAGTATACCGTTCACTATACCGTGAGATGTTCACAAACTATCATAGAAATATCCCGTGTTTTTCTTGAAACTAATGACATCTTTGTGCAGCTTAAGGGATTTAGTCAACCCAAATTTTTAAACTAATTTTTAGTATAACAAAATTAGATTTTGAAGTCAGTTTTAAATATGTAAAACTTGACGAAGTTATGCGTCTGTATTCGCAAATAGGTGAGACTTATATCAATTCGTCAAATCTTCTTTTTTATAAAATTTTATACTAGAAAAAGTTTTACATTAACAATGCCTAGGATTATTGCTATTCAAGTACGACTTCTAGATATGTAGGTTTCAGATATTTTAATAATTCTCTTAACTATGAATAATTTAAGTTCTCACTTTTCCATCTAGACTTTAATTTAAATAGGGCAGGCAAGATTTTAAAACAATTCATTATATTCGTTTTGAAACTTATGACCATAAAATAATATTCGATCATCACACAACTTAAATTAATATTTCCCAAATGTTGCACATATTTGAAAACTAAAGCTAAACTTACTATATATGTACTAATAACGCACTCACTCATGAGTCCTAAGTTATATTTCTAGGGTTATTTTCAACATAAAATATAAAAAAAATATAGATACACTCTTCCTGAAAGTCGGTTCCACCATCTTAATAACCTTCAAAACTATATTGCCAAATACATACCTACATTTAAGCACTTCAATTGTACAATACATTATGCAAGTATCTAGTATATAAACGACAAACCATATTACCAACGTCTCATAGACAAATGCGTATAAAATGAGGTCCTTTACAATCGGAATCCCAGATGGGACCGAACATTTCGACGAAATAGTGAGATTTGGGTATTCCGGCAACACTTGATAGATGAATAATATAGATTGATTGTCATCGTTGCCATAACATACATTTCCTATCTCAACGTCAATACTGGACGGTAAACTTTTTATATATGTAAACAATAAACGAACGATTTATTGAAGGAATCCTGCGGAACGAGTCGCGGTCAAGAAAAAATTTTGTGATAATACCCAAAGAGATATTTGGTTGAAATTGCTACGCTGCTCATTCATAATTCCGCCCACCCAAGCATTATCCCCGATAAGACGACTGCTTCTCATCGTAAGCTCAGCCTTACTTTTAATAGATTCGGTTTGATAAAATCTTCTGTTACATAATAATGTCGATACTTCTGCCCACTACTTTATCGTTTCTCGAAACTTTGTTGCGTGTTCCTGGTTTAGTTACTTGGTAAACAAATTGATAACAAAGTCCCTGTTGAAGATTCATTATAATGATCTAGTCGTCCTTAGTTACAATGTATATTATTTGAGTTGTCACCTTATATCAAATTTATTTAAAATGGTTTATGACTTATTTTATTATAAAGACAATAATTGTTTAATACCTACTTAAATTCCTTTCACCATTTTTTTTCTTCTAAGTGTGAGTGCAGTACACATAATACACATACCCAAACTAAACTACATCATGACGTATGACCTGCATTATCTACGTATGTGTATGAGTCTACACACAATGCCATTCATTTGAAGCGAAGAAATTGCAATGGACATGAATAGAAATCGCATACTCTGTAATTTCCAACGCTGCTTTTTCTATGACAAACTGAAAAAAGAAAATTAAACAATGATATATGATATGATATAGTAACTGCGTTAGTATTATACTTTTGAAAGATTATCTGCAGTATTCTCATATTATAGGTATAATTATAATGGATCCTTAACAGTTTTTTGAACGTTCAGATTGATTTTATAGTAGCATTTTTCAAGCAATTTTTTTAAATTCTTAACAATTGTGTTGTTAACATAAAATAATGGAATTATTTCGTTTAATTTCTGCCAACTTCAGCTGATTTTCGTGGTTTAGAAACTGATGTAGAAACTAACAATTTATATTAAATCAGACTTTAATCATTATAATTATATGTAAATTGATATTATTCCCGGGGTTATGAGAACATCATTGAATCTCAAAAGTAATCCAAGATCAACTGGTTATTAATTATAATGTCAAGTTCTCAAAACTTTATGTTGAGCACACAAATTGTATCTAAATTTAGACTCAAATATAAAGTGTTAGGGTTTAAATTAACTATATGAAAAGCTTTAGCTTTTTAATACTACTTTTCATCTGGTACAAGTCTACGGGCTCAGTTGTTTCAAGATTTTTAGACAAAAAAAAATCTAGGTAGCCGCTAGTGATACAGAAACAGTAAAAGAAATGAAAAAGCATCAGAGAAAAATGTTACGCAAACACTATAAGAAATCAGTTAAATATCTTACACTTACACGCGAAATTTTCACATAGAAATATACAACTCTCATTTGGTTACGGGGTTATCCCGACAAATACTCTATGGGCCCCCAGAAACTAATAAAAGCTTTGACTAAGCCTTATCGTAAGGAAAAGGTTCGAAGCAAAATAATGTACTTACAGGACTGTTAAAGTAACATTATTTGTTGGAACTTATTTTCGTTTATCAGAATTTGCGTATCGATAAATCTTTCAAACACAAATCAATTTACTTAAGCTGATGGTCGTACGGAATCGAGGATTCAACATCAGTCTTCAATTTTCAGATAGTTTATGCTTAACATACCTATTCTGTGACATTTTTATTAGACCCAAATCCATCAATATTTTCGAGATTTGCCTTCGTTTTTGTTACATGTTACAACCACAGCGTTGAGTTTCACCGTGTGAGTGAGGTTACCGGAGACCCAATCCCTCCTCAATCCCTAAATCTCCAAATCCCTAATCCCTAAAATGTCGGCAACGCACTCGTAACTCCTACGTTGCGGGTGTCTATGGGTGGCGCTGATTACTTACCATCAGGTAATCCGTCTGCTCGTTTGCCGAGCTATTACATAAAAAAAACATTGCTCACTCTCACTGCAAACTTTATCAAAAGCCTCCAAGAAATAATATTTTTAGTTATTTATGCAGACATCGTGATTAGCAAGCGATTCTGTGATATTGCACCCACTCAATCAACAAGATTTCTCTAAAAAAGAAACATCAAATACGCATTACAACTCCTGAAACAAAAAACTTTAAAACTTAAAAGAAAAATCCGTCGCTATAATTTTAGGCTTCAAAAAAGACAGGCGACTAAACTGTTTGAGCAGTTAGTAAAATATTTGCAGTACAATAAAACATGTATCTCAAGCTTACGAGTTTACGAAGTCTTTATTCGTCTCGTGTGGATCAAACTATGTCTAGTCAAGTGTGTTGAAATTTAGGAGCGTTCTTACGCGTCGCGAGTTTTCATATAACCTATTTAAATAAAACTTGGTACTCATACGCAAGCAGATCCAGTCAGTTCAGTCCAAAAAGCGAGTTTTAGACGTTTCCTAAAAATAGTGTAAATAGACAGAAAGAGAAAAATATTAAATACTACAAGCTAACTTAATGTTACAACTTACTGTATATGTACTTTTTTGCTTTAAAATTAAATTTTAAAGCAAATATTTTCCGACGTTTAGTTGACTTAACTCTTATTTCATAAAGATGTATTTAAATTTGGTCCCGGGACTTATCGACCCACCTGATTAATGCTTGTTGAATGGGAACGATGACCGAAACGTTGTTTGTTTTAAAAAAAACCTTTAATAATATCTATGTAATTTTATTTGTTTTATTATTGTGTTACAATCACGTATAATAGCTCAACAAAAGATTTTTTTTACTACCAGTAACTATTTAAACCCAGATATATTGCGTGTGAGTATCAAGTACCTACCATCAAAATCGATTCTGAAACTATTATTTTCATAATTTTGTATGAAAATCCATGCAGCATAAACGCTCTTAAGTGCTAATCATCACGTACAACTTGCAAGAGTCAATTCGTGAAGTTTGCAATTCATTACTCGTTAACTTTAGATTTGAGCGAGACGCCGGCCGGCTTTACATTACTTGTTTAAGTTTTAAGGTTCAAATTTGCTTACTTTATCAGAAATGGACAAAATGTTTTTTTAGATCATTCGCGTTAAGGGAACTAACTGAAATGTAATGACAATAAAAGTTTATTATGACTATTGGTTGTCGTTGGACATAAGCCTACACATCCCCAAACTACTACATTCAGGGTACATCTCTAACATGTACCGCCTGTAGGAATCTATGATAAAATAAAATATATTATACTCTTTATTTTCTTTTTTTATTTATCGGCTACAAGTGGAGATTGTGATCCCTTCAAGGATCATTAAGACTGTTCTATCATACTTATAAGATTCTGCGAATTTTATTACAATAACATCTTAAAACAATAATATTCATTTATGGAATCGTTGGAATAATTTCGTTAAATTAGCTTATATTTTGACTCTAATACCACTTTTCGTTAACCTTCGGTTCAAACGGCAAATTTCATTTGTAGGCAAGGCAACACATTAAGCTACAAACTTATCTCTAGTCAAGCTTTTTTTGTTATGTAAGGAAAATCATCAAATGGCTTTTCTCATGGTCTAGTGGGAGGCAGTGTCAGACTCTTACTGACTAAAACTCCCCCGTTCCTTCTCCTGCTCTGAGCCGAGGCCGCGGTGCCTCATTGTGTTCACTCCGCAACGCCGGCTAAACACCAACCCTACAGGGCCACGTTTGTGGTGGTCTATTGGCTCTTTAAGGCACTCGTGGAACACTACACGCCGAATAGGTCTGGTTCTGGTCGGGAGACGAGCTACTCTTACTCGCCGACCGCAGACCTGTGCTTACGGTGGCCGCAGATCATCTCTCTTGAGAAGGATAATGTCTTGTCAAGCTACAAACCTATGTATATCCAGTCAAGCTACAATCATTATCATCATATGTTCGATACTTTTTTCATCCTTATTATCATGTAGGTATAGTTGCATTTACATACCTGTGCTTCATGTAATATTCTGGTCCCATGGACGTCCGTTGGCCTCTTCTTACCCCAACCTAATATGACACAGGAGGTATGGGGTGGCAATGGTTGATGAGGTGCCGGTAAACATGCTACGCCATGGCCTAAGTCCGGCCGGGCAGGCTCCGGCAATCTGTTAATTAAAAAAGCAATAGTTATTCACTAGGGTAGCAGACGACACACCGAAGGAATCAGGGGGCCACTGGATGCAGATAAATTTTCATAAAATAGTCTGGAAGTTTAAGGGAGGTCTATGTTCAGAAGTACATTTTTTGTAGCTGATATGATTATCGCGATAATAAGGAATGTTTACTACCATATATTTATTCATTTTATTTATCCTTAGATCTCTAAAATTAGTGAATTAAAATTTAATAATAATGTCCACTATATTATTCGCATGCATAGCATGTTTTATTTATTTATTGGTATACCAACAACACGCATATTATAAACTATATTCTAGTAATAAATATAACAACCAAAGACTTAAATAAGCATGCCTATTGCAGGTACACACATCGTTCATACATAGACAACTTAATTATTTAAGAGAAGAAGAAAAGAAAGAATCTTCTAATAATATGATAAACAATGTTGACAACAGTAAAGAACCAATAATAGTGATGATACAATTAACTTTCTATTCCGTGCAATTAACACATCCCTTTCGTCACCACATTCCTCTGTCATTTGAAACTTATTCAGTGAAATGTTGTGAATATAAATTCTAGGTAGTCTATTCCAAAGACTGTTACAGTTATGTTAATGAATAATTGTATAAAAAAGACGATTCGAATTCGCCAATTATCGCACGATTCAAAAATAAACTTAAAATTAATAGTTACATATTTTATTTACTTTGGTTGGTACAGAGACTTGCGCTCACATATTACCCCAAACATAGTTTTAATCATAATAATAAATAAAAATAATAAAAAAGAGCACACAGATACATATGTCGGAAGTAAACTAATACTATAAAATTACATTTTCATTTTCACTAAGAGAAGAGGAGTCGAAATCAACACATGCGTGTTTATTTTGTTCTTAATTACACATACATATATTACAAATACATATACTGCTAAACTTGGTGTAAACAGAGTACGGAACAGTAATCTATACTAATATTATAAAGAGGTAAAATTTGTAAGTTTGTATGTAGGGGGTAATCTTTGGAACCGCTGGTCAGATTGCCAAAATTCTTTCACTGATAGATAGCTGCCATGTTTTTGAGTGCCGAACAGCGGGTGAAACCGCGTGAGACTAGCTAACGCAGACAAATATAAATTTCGTGGAAATCGAGATGTGCCGTTAATATTTCTTTATTCTTTCATTGCAAAATTATGGAAATTTAATTCGATTTACGATCCCACAATTTCGGTTCACATACAATGTATGCATTACATTGGCAATTCAAAAATATAGCCAATAATAAACTTTGGGAGTGCTGAACTTCAACAATACGAAAGAGATATCATTATTTACGACCAGTACCAGACCAGACCATCTATAACACCTTTTCTATTATTTATGCGTTTAAATAGGAACTCTTTCACAGAGTATTTTTAAAGTTCGTTTTAGCTTATGATAACTCAGGAACTCCAACTCCAAACTTTACATGATTAAACTATGCGAGCATAGATATAAGATTTCTGTGTATGCGAGAGACAAATTTTAACCTTCATAAATTTTACAAAACTAGAGAAAGTTAATTTTGTAGTGGACGTCTTCAGGCTTAAGATGATGATGAAATGACAAATATAAATACATTAACATGCCTTCTATGAATATAAAATAACGATAAAAATCTACTTATTCATAGCCAGTAACAAAAGGTATTAAAAAAGTCGGTCAAGAGTCCAGTCCACTACGATTTTCCGCACTGCAATTAAGTGTGTGCTCTTGAATGAGTGGGAGGTCGCAATCAAATAAAACCGTTGCATTTTCACCCTGTGGTTCAACCCGCTATTTATTCCTGAACTTTTGATTTTGCTCATAATTTTTTCCTTTTATTTTAAGGCCGTTGTTACGTGTGGATAAAATTACAACTAGGTATGCAAAATATTGCAGATGGAGAGATCTTTGACAATAAAAATAAAGGGTTAAAAATGGAGACCTATTTAAATAATATTTAATTGTTAAACCGGGACCCAGTTTCGTGCTGAAACATGGCTCTCCCACACTTATAATATAAATATAATATAAAAGCCTTTATTGTTGATTTTAGTTTACATCAAAAAATTATATCTATATGTGCCTAACTAACTTATTAACTTTATTCGTACTCGTAACTATTTACTACTCGTATCTTAATAAATGTATTATTAATGAAGTAACTGGTATAGTATATATATTGCATTAGGCAAACGGTATACACTCTTCAACTTGTCTTCCGACAAAGGCCTCCTCTAAAGATCTCCATTCTGTTCTATTCTTTGTTGTTCTGATCCATGTTGGACCAGCTATTTTCCTGAAGTCATCCTCCCATCTCTTAGTCTGTCTCCCTCTGTTTCTTTTGCCATCTATTGGATACCACTCTGTTATTAATCTTGTCCATTTTTCTATCTTCTCTCTCGCCATGTGTCCTGTCCACCTCCACTTTAATTGTTTGTATGTTGTGTATGCATTCTTGAATTTTGTTTTACTTTTTATATCTTTTAATTTCTCTCTGTCTTTTCTATTAACTCCTATTGTACTTCTTTCAATACTATTTTGGCAAACTTTTATTTTGTTTGCCAGTTGTTCCGTCATTGCCCAGGTTTGACACCCGTATAATAAACAAGGTAGAATACATGTATTATATACTTTCCTTTTTTCCTTCATCGGCATTTCATTGTTCTTCATTACTTCGCTAAGTGACCAATATCGTTTCCACGTGTTAGTTATTCTTCTTTCTATTTCTTTTTTCATACAGTCTTCGGTAGATATTAACTGTCCCAAATATATGTATTCGTTTACGTATTCTATTTGCTCATTATTGATTCTAACTGACTCTGTTTGTGATGAGTTTGACATAATTTTTGTTTTATTTAAATTCATTGTTAGCCCTGCCTTGTAACTCTCATCGGCTAGTTGTTGTAGCATTGTTTCCAGTGATTTTGGGCTATTAGAAAATATAATAAGGTCGTCAGCAAAACGTAAATGAGTCAGGTGTTCGCCATTTATGTTTATTCCGTTATTCCTCCAATCTAGGTTCCTGAATATCATTTCTAAGACAGCTGAAAATAATTTAGGTAAGATGGGGTCCCCTTGGCGTACGCCTCTCTTGATAGGGAATTCTTCACCAAGAGTTTCTAGCTTTACCTGCCCAGTGCTCTTAGTATATACGTTTTGGAGTATTCGTACGTATTTTAACTGTACCCCTTGTGTTTTTAATGCATCCCATATATATCTATGTTCCAGTGTGTCAAATGCTTTATTAAAATCAACAAACCCTAGATAGTAGATCTTGTTATATTTTTGTAGTATTTGTCTAAGGGTATGGATATGATCTATGGTTGAAAAACTTCGACGGAATCCAGCTTGTTCTTTGGGCTGATTTTCTTCGAGAGTGTTGGCAATTCTGGATAGTATAATTTTTGAAAATACCTTATAGATATTAGACATTAAGCTAATGGGCCTGTAGTTAGCTATATCTCCTTTGTCGCCTTTTTTGTGTAGTAATATAATAGTCGATTTAGTCCAATCCTCAGGAATTTTTTCAGTTTCGATAATTTCGTTAAAAATTTCTGTAAACTTTTAAGCTATCACTGGTAATGTCGTTTTCAGTAGTTCATTCGTAACGAGATCTGATCCGGGAGCTTTATCGTTTTTTTGTGTACTTATTGCTTTTATGGTTTCTTCTTTTAATATTTCAGGTATTTCCTCTTCATTTGTTGATGCATAGTATTCTTCTCTAGTTAAGCCCCCCAGTTTTTGGCTTTGATATAGATTTCGGTAAAATTCTGTGGCAACTTTTAGTATTTCGGATCTTATTCCTGTATTTTTTCCATCTTTCTTTTTCATGCTAGGTATCCAATCCTTTTTGCGATTTAGTGTTTTCAGTGCCTTTTTTATTCCTCCAGTCTTTTCTATAAAATTCTTCATTGTCTTAGTCCGTTTGGTTTTTCTCTCTCTCCGTAGTTCCTCGCTAATCATTTTGCTTATTTCTGTTATTTTTCGACGATTGTCTTTAGTTTTAATGTTTTGCATTAATTCTTTACGTGTCTGTAGTAGTTGTTTACTTTTAAGTGAGATTTCGTTCTTGTCTTTCGTGGTAGTTTCTCTAGTTACAGTTTTTAATTGATGTAATAATTTATTATATTTTTCTTGTAGCGGTAAACAATCTTCGTTGTTTAGTGACGCCCGGAGATTATTAAGTAAAACTTCTGTTTCGCCATTGTATTGAATAACTGCGTATTTGTTATGGTACCGTCTGGTTTTCTTGAGGGGTGTTCCTGAGATTATTGTCCGAACCATTCTATGGTCTGTGTTAAAATTTAATTTTTTTATGACGGAGACGTTTTTGAAGGCTTTTCTGTTGTTAGACAAAATAAAGTCTATTTCGTTCTTGTGAAGTCCATTAGGAGATTTCCACGTCCATTTATTTGCTATTTTCTTTTTGTAAAAGCTATTTAGAATGCATAATCTGTTTTCTAGTGAAAAATTTACTAGTCTTGCGCCATTGTTACATATTATGGGGAGGCACGGATATCGCACCCATATCCGTGCCTCCCCATAATATGTTCTTCGCCGTTGTTTTGTGTCCCGATTTTACCATTAAAATCTCCCATCACAATTATGTTTTTATGTGCCGTTTCGATAGTATTTCGCAAGTCTTCGTAAAATTCTTCAATTTTCGTTACGTCTTCCTTTTTGTCTGATTCTGTTGGTGAATATGCCTGGATAATGGACCATTCTTCTTCTTCTTCATAAAGTTTTATGTTAAGGATTGCGATACGTTCGGAAATTCCTCTTAATTCTTTTATGTTGTTTGCCAATCTTTTTCTAACCATGAATCCGACTCCATACATTCCTGGCGTTTCTCCTTTATAATGTAGTATATATTTTTCATGATCTTCTATGTGTTCTCCAAATTTTCTCACTTCACTGATCCCTATGATATCCCATTTTATTTCTTCTATTGCTATTTCAAATTCTTGAAGTTTTTCTGGGGTTCTAAGGGATCGACAGTTGATAGTTGCTATATATATATCGTTGGTTTTCTTTTGGGTTTGCATTTTAGCGCTATTTTTAACCTTTAGAGGGTCGTGGTCATTTTCCCCCACGAGGACTAGTCGGCTTGGGGGAGTGTTGTGTTTAGTTGTTCTTATGTTTTTTCTTATTATAGATTGTTGTTTTTTCCGTTTACCGAATTTTAGTTGCTCTTGTTTATTATCAGTTGAAGTAGACGGAAGAGAGTTGCTTCTGATCCTCATTAAATCGTAAGCATTTAATCTGTTAATGTTCGACGGCATGAAGTTTTGTTGTTTCTTAGGCTGAGTATTACGTTGAGGAGATGTTGATGTTTCTCTTTTCCGTTTGTCATTGCTTATATTATAATTTTTTCCTTTTATTATTATCTTGTCGAATTTTAGATATGATATATTTCCTTTCTTTCTCTCCTCCATCAGTTGTGTTTGCAGCATTTTTCTTTTCTCTAGAACTTCTTTAGTATAATCCTCTGAAATGTATACCTGTTTCAGATTTTTCTTCAGTTTCATTATTTCATTCTTCTTCCATTCGTTCACGAAGGTAACCAAAGTAGGTCTTGCTTTATCGTTTAGCTTCTTTCCAATTCTATAAATATTATTTACTTCGTAATCGTTCAAATTAATACTCAAATCGGTTTTCAAAATTTTTTTCAGTTTTTGTAATAGTTCCAGGTTAGATTTCTCGTCCTCTTCTATTCCAAAAAGTATTAGATTGTTTTGTTTCTTTGCTCTTTTCAAACTTTCTACCTCTATCTCGAGTTTTTCTAATTTGGTTTTCAAGATTTTATTTTCTGCTATGATAGGTTGCAGTTTTTCATCTAAACTCTCCATTATTTTATCTGTTATAGAAGTTTGTAGTTCCATAGTTTGTTTTTGCATTTCAATTTGCAATTTATCGAATAAAAGTTGAAATTGATTATCCATGTTTTTTTTTTATTTTCTATTCAGTTCTGAGTGTAATGGAACGTACTAAGCAGATTCTTGACTTGGCAACACTGAGATGTATGTCAAATTACGTCTTGACACTTTTGAAAGAACTTATAACCTCAATTTAGTAATCCAGTCGGTGTCTTACTTGAAAATGCAATCCAATATCCAGAATTACGAGAAATCAACACTTCCACAATATTCACAGCACTTTAGTTGATACTTCGTGATGTTTTTATATTAATAAGTGTGCGTAAATGAATTTTGAACACAATTTTAACGGGAGCTGCACAACTATGATGATTACAGTATGACGTCCGGAAACGGAAAAACTCTCCCACACTTAGATCTTGATAAATATAGTAAACCACACCCTATTAGGTACACTTTAAGAATACCATTACGCTTGTAAATTATATTTAACTAGCTACTCTCGCGCGGTTTTACTCGCTGCTCGGCTCCATTTAATAGCGTGAATCATAGGTATTTTATAGCCTATAACACTCAGGAATATTGTAGCTATCTATCAGTGAAAGAATTTTGTAAATCCGACCAGCGGTTCCAAAGATTACCTCCTACATACAAACTTACAAATTTTACCTCTTTATAAAATTAGTATAGATAATAATTACAATGACGATACAGTACAAGATACAGAATATACCACACATATTGCAACTAAAATTTACTATAAAAATATTTCCACTACATTTGATAGGGTCGGACGGAAACATAAAGTACAAATATTGAAAAGAGCTTTGATGGCTTTTATAGATATTTGGAACGTATGGTAAATGGAATATTTATTCACTACGTGTTTGGACCGGGACAAAACTGAATAATACCTAAACCCCTAGACTGCCATAAAAAGGATATGGCCACCAGCATCCGCCAAAGGACAACTGATACGTTTCCCATTTTGGATAGAAAGGCTAAATGTTAAGGATATAAAAATTAAATAATAATATGACATATATCTGTTGACACTCGAACAGACTAGTGAAAATTAAATCTTATCCTCCCTGACCACCACAGACGGGGCCCTATAGGGCTGATGTTCAGCCGGCGTTGCGGGGTAAGCGCAATGAGGCACCGCGACCTCGGCCCAGAGCAGGAGAAGGAATAGGGGGGTTTTTAGTCAGTAAGAGTCTGACACTCCCTCCCTGAGTCCTGAGTCCTGAGACCCTGGTCGGGAGAAGCCATTTGATGATTTCCCCCTCACAAAAAAAATCCTCCCTGTCCCCCAGTTCCGATCTCCAAATCCGTAAAATTTTTATTTTAAAACACCAGTAGCGCGCTTGTAATTACTTTTCTGTTGTAACGTTCGTTGGAAGGCGCCAAATGCTTACCATCAGGTAAGATATTTTGCCCTGACACATTATAAATCATCTTTCGCAGCAGATTAAAAATCGCTCGTCAAAAAAATATAAAAACATAAAAAAATAAAACGTAAAATCGTAATCGCAATAGAATAATGTATATGAATAATTAGCCATTAAAAAGTAAACAGGAATTTAAGCCTCCATCTATATTTGGTTGGTTATTGATTGACCTCAATAAACATAGCTTAAAACTTACTGAAAAACTGTTACTTATTTGTTTACGACGATCTACGTTCCTTCTTTTCAAAGCATTTAGGCCCGGAGCTGATAGTGACTTTTGTTACTGTCACCGGCTGTCACTTACGATACGCTGACTGAAACTGTTAGTGAGTGACAGTGAAATGGATTACAAAATGAAAAAAAAAGACAGAAAATATTTAAAAGTCACTAAGTAGTGAGTAGACTCCCCTGTTATGTACAAGTTGGCTGACAGTCACGCTACAAATATTTATTGTCACCATATTGTCACGTCACCGCAAAGAGCACACTCTCCTATATCTTCAATGCACTCAACTTAGTGACAAAAAGTAGCAGTGACAAAACCACTATAAGCGGCGGGCCTTACTTAACAATTTCTACCGTCTTTCTACCATTCGTTTATGAGCCACCCGAGATGTTTCTAGACTTAGTCGTTATTTAATTTAAACTTAGTTTGTCTGTAACTACATAAATTAATTCTAGTATTTTTCGAGCTAACATACTTTCACCTACACAAATGCTATTAATAGATTGTACATACAAAAATCACTATGACGTTTTTAGAATGTAGAACACAATAAATTTAGCAACATAGTGATAATAATTCAATTTTCACAGAGACTTAATAATTTTACAGAACCCTTACTTTATATTTTTCTTAAAAAGGGACATTAAAAATGGTGTAAATAAATATTGCACAAATTCTAAGGCTTAGTTTGATGTTTAAGCACGGTCCGTCATAAAATTGATAACTACCTATTATAGCGGAGAGGCTCTAGGGAAAAAATGTTTTACGATAGCCTTGAAGTTCAGGCGGAAGGCGATATTATAATGTTGTGCACTATAATCTTATCAATTTCGTCGTTAAACGGGAATAAAAACGTTATTCAATTTACTTGTATGCCGACGTACTTCCACTTTGAGTGAGACAAATATAAAGTTGCAGAAGTTCCATCCATAATAAATAAAAAAGCAAATGGAAGATAATTTCTAAACTCTGCTTCCTTTACATGTGAAATCTGATATATTAAAATTACTCAGAAACAAGACACTATGTATCATCATCATCATCATCACCCTATAAGTGCCGACTGCTGAGCAAAGGCCTCTTCTCATACGGAGAAAGTTAGAGCATTAATCACCACGCTTGCTCAATGCGGGTTGGCGATTTCACTATGTATTTATTGTTACTCTAAATTGTATGATTTCAATGAAACCACGTCATTTCTGTAACCATTGATAGACTTAGTAGTCAAGCAATTGCTATTGTGTCTGACTTTATTTTCGTACCAATTATAATTAAAAATGTGATGAATGAATTAATTTTATTCGTCCTCATTGAAAAAAAAGTAAGTTATGTATAAAATCGCAGTTATTCAATTATAAAGAGCTCGATTATTCGCCCACAGCATTTTAGTATAAACCGCTGGACAAGCCTGTTTACGCACGCGTAGGTGGCGGGCTATAGGATATGAATCGTACCTCGTTACTCTGTGTAAAGGCCAACGCCAGTCAATCAATTTTAAATCCGTTTGAACGCTTAAAAATATTTTTCATGTCATTTTTATGGCGATTACAAAAGTTTGGGTTGCGGATAAGCTTGAACTTTATTTGACCGATTATTGTAAATACAATGCTTAGAAATAAATAAGCAAAAATTGTGTATTCAACAGACATTCCTAAAATAAAATATGAAAGGACATATTTCACGTTGTAACAATAGTAAGCTTCACAGACATCGGACGGGGCATGATAAGAGTGACACAATAGATCGTAAACTATGATATGTCATACGTACCGTAACATAGCGACATCGTTGACGACCGTGTCAGGGTCATAGCGAGGATGTATGACGGCTTCCGTGACCTTCATCTCCACCTCGCCGCGGTTTCTGAGTAGCAGGTCGTGCTCGCCCAACCGCACGTACAAGCGTTTGCGCACGCAATGTGCCGCCGTTACAACCCACCGGAGTGAGACGAGGGTGCCGCCGCAAAATGCTTCCTGGAAAACATTCAGTTTCATATATCGTAGAAAAATATTTCAAAGGTGCCAATACAACTATTGCAAGATAATTTGTACTGATAGCACATACAACGCCATCCTTTTTTCCCATTTTCATGACATGCTTTGATTTTTGTGGACAAACTTTACCCGTGTCTCTTATGAAGGTGGATTTTAACTGACAAAAACGCACTGCCCATTGTTGTAATTGAAAGTCATGTTGTCAATGATCTCAGAAATGAAAAAAATTGTGGGACAGACATGCTTCGGCACAAATGGATCAGCTCGACCGGAGTGATACCACGGCCTCACAGAAAACCAGCGTGTAACAATCACAGCATTGTGTTTCGCCGTGTAAGATACTCGTACTCTCAAATAAATACAAATGTAAAAACTATCATTTTTACCATAAACTGTTGAAAAACATAATATTTTAATGTAATCTAAACCTGGAAGAGTAGCAGGTTGATCAATTGCGATTTTTTTTTAAAAGAACCACATCATGAAAGTAAATTCGTACTTTGATATAAAGCATATTTATAAATAAACATTCTTCGAATGAAGAATATAGAGTTCGGCGGGGAAACTGGAAAATTGCAATATTGTGCACGAATGTCTTTTAAGCCATTATATTTCGCTTCAGAAATATTTAAACTGAAACTTGTTAGTTCTCATATTTCCCTTGACCTATTTTCCAGTTATTTATTTGAAATTATTATTCAAAGAGGAATTTGTAGTTTGTTTTCTAATAAATTAATGTTTTTAGGTACTTTATAGTATGAATAGAAACTAAAACTATTTGCTCCTAATATTAGTTTTTGTTACTTCTTTGAGAAAGTTATCCTATGTATCTTTATATGAATACCACATTTCTGATTCTAATCAGCATTACCTTCGCCAAAATTTAGTTAATCAATAGTAACAGAAGTCCCGCCCCATCGTCACCCAGGTGCATTTCATTGATGAATGTGGCGAATTTTTCTTTAAAAACATTTCTTTAAATAAAAATATTTATCCAATTTCAACTATTTTCAATGGCAACATTCACAAAAAGGAAATTGAATAGTCAATTAATCTACATAGACACGAGAAAAATTTCTTTAAAATTACCTAAAGGCGGTTATAAGTTGGAGAAAGAAAAAGAACACAATATGTTTCTCCTTATCATTTTAAAAGTGACGTTGTAATCATTGACATATTTTTTTATTATTTATTATTACTTTTATTTCACATTATTTTTGGCGTGACGTCATTGGTATGTCATTTGTTTTCATTTTGTACTGGCCAGCGACGAAATTCAAATTTTAAGATACAAAGCACAAAATAGTGTTGGAATACCAATAATTTCCTTGGCTACCTTCCATACAGGTGCAATAAATTACAAAATTCTGCAGCGTAGGGCCATAGTGAGACATTATAGCTGTCTAGATAGCCCATTTCTAGTAGCTTCAACGACATTTTTGGCATTCAATGTACCACATTTGCCTTGATAACGTGTTGAATGACTGTTTTATATATTATAGAGATTATTCGGCGACAAGACGACGCCGCGACGCGCACGACACTCGCTGTATGAGTCCCGCTGTGACATGAAACTTGTTAAGCTTTTTAGTTAATTCACGTGACTATATATTGGATAGCTTAGTCAATTGTGGTTAAAACAATAAGTTTTTACAAAATTGTTTAATTTGAATTAAGTAAATCTACATTGTGATATTATCGATGCCTATGGTATGTGCTTTACTCAAGTAGTTGTACCACAATTCGCTAGTCAGCCTCTCATTTTCAGCTACTACGAAACCACACGGGTTTCTTGGAAGAAAAGAGGCGGTAAGAAAATGTTTGCCACTACCTCACTATGCGTTTTGTGACACAATACCAACGTTTATTATGCTAGTACGAGAATGTAGATTGATTAGGTACAGAGATAGTAGCTATTGTTTTACTGAATTGTTTTATGTGAAACGGCGGCTAAAAAGCAGGCGTTTTAACTAATAATAAGCAATTGGCTCCGCCCATAGGCTACCGCAACAGTATAGGAGTTGTTAGTTGGTTGCCTACCTTTTGGGGCTTTGGGGATCAGGAAGAGATTGGGGGAGTAAAATGTTGCGACTCTGGTCACCTCATTCGCAAGGCGAAACACAACGCTGTGGTTTTCTGTAAGGTTGTAGTATCGCTCTGGCGAACAAACCGAAGCCCATTCATGCCGAAGAATCTCAGGCTGCTCTCCTACATTACTTGGTATTAAATGAAGACTTAATTTTTGTACAGATTTCTGCTAGATAGTTTGACAGCGGTTACTGTCTGTGTTGACAATCAATCTTTATTTTTATATTCAATTCTAATTTCCCCGGTCAATGTACTTTATATAGATAGTTAATTTCAATATAATCTCATATGTGTCCGGGACGGTAACAAGATATACTAATTAACGCATTTACCAATTAAGGTAAGAACAGGATCCGTCCTATTATAGTGCAGTCGGTTACGATATTTGCTTGAGAAAGGTTTAATTGGAGTGAAGGGCTATCTGATTACTGGCCCTTGTACGTAATTACGTACGGGCTTCGTGTTTACTTCTATGTGTAAACAACGTAGGTAGCTAATAATAGCGCTGTGTTCTTTGAGAAAAGATACATATAGGTAGTTTGAAATAATATTGAATTGTTTAGGGTTTTGCTAAGTTTCTTAATAGTGGCATTGGGGGTAGAATTGTGCCGGTGTATGTCAACAGGTGGATCCTTAACAGTAATACACATGAGATCAATAATAAAACAAAAATGCATGGACATCTTCGATAGTATGACGTACGTTGGTATGCGGATGGCGACCAAGGGTAGCTCACCAGTACCAGACTCGAGCGTACCTACGGCGCAGTGCGTAGTGTTCCGCGCACGCCTCAAAGACCATCACAGATGGACCTCAACAGAGCTGATGTTCAGCCGGAGTTGCGGGTCAAGAGTAATAGACGGAACGGGGTGGGTTTTTAGTCAGATAGAGTCTGAAAATCCCCCTACCCCCCTTTCCTCACCCTCACCACTTCTAGCAAAGGAAATACGAAGATTGTCCCCCCTCAAAAAATACATAGGATGACGTCAGCTTCTATTCACAAATCTTTAGAAAAACAATCATCCCTTACATCTTCTATGTATATGTATCTTTAATTAAAGTTTCCGTAATCCCAAGATTAAGTTAAGGAAATCAATTTATCTTTCCTTAAGCTATCTTAAAAAGTAATCGTTATTACACAGTGCCGGAATTAGAGGAATACCTGAGTACTAATAGGAATTTCTTAAATCCAATTTGATGTTTGGTTAGTAGGCATCGAGTGTTTAATTAGTACGAGCTAAGTATACTTTTGGATAGGAGCCTAAACCTACATTGTCGAAATCGACTTAATTAGATTTTTAGATGAGGTAGAAAGACTTTTCTTATAAAAAAGTTCGTTGGTAAGTTATTCAAAAAGTTAAAAGGTAAATAAATGTTTAGGACTGTTTATGCCATAACACAGAAAATACACGAATCGGCAGATGCCTATGTATTTTGTACCTATGTTTTTTTATGGTATAAGTCGGCAAACGAGCAGACGCATTACCTGATGGTAAGCAATCGGCGCCGCACATGGACACCCGCAACACCAAAGGAGTTACGAGTGTGTTGCCGGCCTTTTGGGGATAGGGGTTGGGGATATAAGGATCGGGAAGGGATAGCGGAGGGGGAGGGATTGGGCCTCCGGTAACCTCACTCACACGGCGAAACACAACGATGTGTGTTGTTTCACGCCGGTATTCTGTGAGGCCGTGGTATCACTCCGGTCGAGCCGACCCATTCGTGCCGAAGCTTAAGCTTAATGTAGTTTTATAACACCCATTTTACGTATCAGAACTAGTGGAGCCAAAAAGTTCTTTACTTTATCCAAACCAGAGCAAGTTTTGAGTGGGCCAGAGAAAGTGTTAGACTCTTACTGATTAAAAACCACCCCAATCCTTATGCTGCACAGGGCCAGAACCACCTTACATTATTGCGTTTCCATCCGCAATTCCTAACCCGGAGAGCTGACCCAATAATTCTTACTCCATAATTACAATCATGTCGCGAACAACTTCGTAATTGACATAATATATCTAAAAATTACCAGACAACGTACAACATAAACAAGCGCGCGACAAACCAAGAAATTAACATAATTATAACCAGACCAACGTAAGTTAACCACCTCGCGTGTATGCAAATTATACCGACTAAACCGCAAGCAGTAATTTCTAAACAAATTAGTTAAACAATTAAAGCGAATGCTTTTGTGCGTGACTCAGTTTTTTACTAACGAAACAAATATTTTTGTAGCAATCACTTTTATTTGAGTTTCACGATTAGTTCCTTAATTACATTTCCTGTAAGTTATGTAGTAAAAAGCTTCAAAGTTACGCTGGCACGATAAATTTACATTATCTTGATTATAAATTAGCGTAAGCTTTTTTTGAGGAAATTTGTCAAATGGCTTTTCTCCCCAGAATGTGGTGAAACAAAGTGTCTGACTCTTACTGACTAAAAACCACCCCGTTCCTTCTCCTTTTTTTTGTCAGGGGAAAATCATCAAATGACTTCTCCCGCCCAGGGTTAGGCGAGAGAGATCGTCAGACTCTTACTGACTAAGAACCCCCCCCCCCCCCCGTTCCTTCTCCTGCTCCGGGTCGAGGCCGCGGTGACTCGTTGCGCTTAACGCGCTTAACCCGCAACATCAGTTGGCTGAACATCAGCCCTATAGGGCCCCGTCTGTGGTGGTCTATTGGCTCTTTGAGGCGCGCGTGGAACGCTACGCGCCGCACGCTCGGGTCTGGTTCTGGTCAGACCCGCACCCCGTTCCTTTTCCTGCATTGCAAAATTGGCGTAAACTAGATGTAAAACCAGCACTAAACCATTTTTATTTCGTTTCACACACAGTCAATTGTTTTGGTTTGTTCCACTTTTTTTCACCCGAGCAATGTAATCCAGGTAAAATGAGCAAACTCAAGTGGTCTCCTTTGTTCCCTGGAATTAAAATCACCTAAACGGGTGCAGCAAGGCGAAATTGTACTTTTGTTAACAAAGTGAAACAAGCCATTGTTTTCCACTGTCAGCTCCAAAGCCAATTAATACTCATGTTGAATTTAATTTAAATCTGTTAACGCTCCTAATGTACAAGAAAAGTTTGTGAGAGAAAATGCTTTCATGAAAAACAAAAAAAACAATTAAGAGCTTTATTAGCATTTCTGTTTATAAGTATACTTAAGTCTCGTCCCACTTCGTAAACAATAAAAAACAGATTTTAGCACACCATAAATTCGACTTTATTTCAAATAGCATAAAAGTCTTCACATATTCCTAAACAACTGAAATAATCAAATGCAATTTTGACGTAATTGACGTGAGCCCGGTGTACGATTTATAGTCACAAAATACGAAAACACAATTAATCATCCTTATGTTTAATTACTCTCTTTATTTATCCAATATTCCTTTTACACATTCTTGCGAATTACTCCCGGATCAGTAGAGAGAATATTATATTTTATGTAACACTATCGGCCTGTCCCGGCTTCGCATGGTTGGAGATTTTTTTAGACTATACTACGCAAGATGAAAGGAGCTTTCCTACGGTAAAAGACTTATTAAAATATTCGTGGTAGATTTTCGTTTTATTTATTATATAAATCCAAATATTTCCAGTCTCCGTGCAACTCAAAGAGCTGTAAAACAAGAAAACATCCAATAATGTATCCTGATTGCAGCCATCCAACATGGAAGGCCACATATTAGTGAGCCTAATATTGCATTGAAAGCAATTTGCAGTACGTATCATTGCTAATACACCTTTTCTTATTTCAGCACCCAAGTACTCACCAAATCATTTGTGATAAATGTATATTATGCGTTGACCACACATATTCAAATTTCTTCAATACACAGCTATCCGGTATAATTATTTAAATACAGACCAATGGCGACATTTATCCATTTTTGTAATAAAAAATTGTGTTTGCTTATTTTGAAGTTACTGCGTTACTGTTTAAATTACTTTAATATTTTCATATTTCTACTGTCCGTGGAATGCAAATAGGTGTACAATTAACATTTAATCCAATTTTGTGAACAAATTACAAATTCGAATTGCCTGCGGTAGACAGTTGTGGAATTATTTGTTGTGGCTCTGTTAGACTGTTCAATTGAACGTTTTATGAAACGTTTGTAAAATATACACATAACTTTCTTACATGTTTTTAGGAGTTTCGAACTGGGGAAAAAACGGAATCCTATTGCTAAGACTCCATTCTCAGTCTGTCCACCTGTCTGTCAGCAAGCTGTATCTCATGAATAATTATTTTTTCAGTATAAATAAAGTTTCAGAACCGGCCGTGCGCAAGACCAGCTCTCACTAGGAGCTGTGTTGATCTGATTTAAATACTATCGATATTAACTACTATTTGACATAAACAAAATGTAGGTAACTATGAAATAAATAAGTAAGTAGGTAATAACTCATATCCTAAGAATCACCTCCTATTCCTAAAAAATGTGTAAAATTACCTTATATCGGTTGAGCACAGCGACTTGCCAGGCCCACTTGCCGGGTGGCGCGGGTCGTCCACCAATAATGCGCACCATATCGCGCATGCGCTGTCGAAGGCGCGCAGACGCAGACCCCCTATACCGACCTACTCTCCCACAAGGTGGAGTTGGTGGAATTGCCCGAGAGTCTTGAGGATGTATCGCAGGAGCCGGAGTCGCCGCCATAAATTCTGCTGTCGAGTAACCCGTAAACATAAAAAGTATTTTCAGCCACTTTTTGTGAGGTATGCAAAGAAACTAAGCTACCTGTTTACATTAAAGAAAAACTAATAAAATTTATCAAAAAGTTTCAATTGTACGTAAAAGGGTCTTGTCAACATGATAAAGTACTTTCACGAAATCTTGAAAGGGTCTATTTGACTTTTATTTTATTGAAGTTCGGATTGTACAAAAATGGACACTACGGGATTAAAAAAAGTTTGGTCTTATCTGAACCTGGCTTTAAATTTATCTAGACTATCTGCATAGAATTCTAAGTAAGTTAGTATGGAACTAAGAGTTTATTATTGGCTATCTAAACGTTTTAATACTTACTACCTACATGCATACATTGTCACAAAAGTTCACATTTATAATATTATTAGTTTTAGCATAAAGTGCAGCATTTAGCACAATAATTTATACATATATATTTTACCACATAAAAAATTGCTCTTTATATACCTAGTCTAGCCATAAATACTGTAACAAATAAAAAATATTTTTGTAAATAACATTTATTACTTTTACAGTATGTAAGTTTAATACATAAATATAAAACAATTTAAAACATAAAAAGCTTATTCGAAGTTGTTGCTTGTTTAAGTGTGGGAGAGCCATGCTTCGGCACGAATGGGTCGGCTCGACCGGAGTGATACCACGGCCTCACAGAAGACCGGCGTGAAACAACCACACCATTGTTTTTCGCCGTGTGAGTGAGGTTACCGGAGGCCCAATCCTTCCCCGCCCCCAATCCCTCCTCAATCTCTAAATCTCCAAATCCCTAATCCCTAAAAGGTCGGCAACGCACTCGTAAATCCTCCGTTGCGGGTGTCAATGGGCGGCGCTGATTGCTTACCATCAGGTAATCCGTCTGCTCGTTTGCCGACCAATTACATAAAAAAATGGTCTCCATTGGCTGCAATACAGTCCTTTAAACGTTGAGGCCAGTTATCAATAGAAGCACGCTCTCTTTCCATGGGAAAATTTATCACTGTCAATCGTATGGATTGTTTTAGGGAGTCCAAATTATCATGACGTTTAGAACAAGCCCTACTCTCTAAAACTGACCATAAATCATAATCCAGCGGATTAAGATCGGGACTAGACGACGGCCAGTCTTCAGCTCTGATGAAGACGGAAACGTTCGTTTTCAACCAAGACTGCGTGAACCGAGCTTTATGACCCGGCGCCGAGTCTTGCTGGAAGGACCATTCTTGGTTATTGAACATGGTGTTGTTAAGGGGCTTAACTACCTTCTCAAGAATGGTATTTTGATACACTTGTGCCGATGTTTTGATACCTTTTTTGCAAAAGTATGGCTCAGTCACTCCTTCATAGCTAACACCCCACAAAACCATCACTGAAGTCGGATAATGCCCATTGCACTCTGTCGACTAATTGAGAAGCTTCCTTAGAGCTTTGAGCATAAATACCTACGGTCATTTTTTTTGTTAAAATGTTGCTCAATTGTAAAAATTTTCTCATCCGTAAACAAAATTTTTCTGTGACCTCCCTTTGCGTACCGCTTCAGTAGTTGTTTAGATTTTATCACCCTATTCTTTTTTAAATTATCCTTTAAAAATGTCCAGTCCGTCTCCTATAGGCTGCAAGTCCAAAGTCGTCTTTTAAAATACGCGACATGGTTCTAGGTGCTATCTTTATCTCCCGAGATAAAATCTTTTGCTTTCGGACAAGATTTCTTCGAATTCTTTCCCTTACTGCTTTGACCACCTTTTTCGTACGAACACTACGTGGACGGCCAGATCTTTTTCTGTCACAAACAGAAGAGGTCTCATTGTACCTATTAATAGCCCGGTACACAAACATTTAAGCGTGTGGAGAGTTTTAAAAATTGTATTTGGCTCCATACCCACTTTGTGTAATGCAATCACAGTGATTCGGTTCTCTTTATCACCCCACTCCATTTTAATATCGCAAAATATTGAACAATTTATTGGCGCCGAAATAAGAAAGCACAATGAAAAATTATATAAAAATGACAGATTCCAAATTCAAATGTAATATTTTGTTTATTTTTAATTGTAACAGTATTTATGGCCAGACTATGTATAAATGAAGCATTAAATAATGTAATCATTAAGCGAAGGGAGTTACAATATATTTGGCCTCATAAAGACCCCAATACCCGTTTTATTCACAATTTGCATCATGTTCACAGCGAGAAAATGAAATGTTGCTCCGAGAAATTCATATTGTGTACACAACTTGTTAGATTTTAATATATTCGAGACTTATTCAGCTTGAGCTCACATCTTCTTGTTTCAATTTGTCTCAAGCCATTTCGTGAAAGTTTAGTATTTTAAAAAGAGCTACAAATGAAACAATGAATAAAATCCTTTTGTGTAAAAATGTAAAGAAGTTTGTAGTCAAGGCTTGAAACTAATGCAAAAGTATTAACGAGGTTATGTGTTGTTATGGTTGGCGCAGATAATTTATAATAAAATAAGAACAGAAACTATCCTTAAATAATAAGCTATAGCAGTTACAAATGTCGCAAACCGAGGCCAAAAATTGGAGCAAACTTGTTACTTTTTGGCATTTTGACGTCTGACGATAAACTAACTCCTCGTATTTTCCTGTGTTTTTAATCTGTATTATAAAGTCTAATATAAATTATTTCTTGTTGTTTTTTTTTTTTGTCGCAATTGCTATTAACTGGTGTCAGCTGTATAATTAAACATAAATTAAGTAGCTTAGTTAGCTTAGTTTAACCAAAAAGTGATCGCTATGTGTTAAGTAGGTTTTTCTTCGACAGTTTTAAATGAATCCACTGTCTTAGACCCCATACGAAATAGATCGAAAGTTTTAATCTGCTAAAGAATGGCAAGAAAACAGAACATTTGTAGATAGTTCCTTTTTAGTAATGTACTTTTCTTGTTTTGAGTAGGGAAAATCATCAAATTACTTTTCACTCCTAGGTTATGGCAAGAGGGATCCCCGTTCCTTTCCCTGCTCCAGGCCGAGGCCGCTTTAGTAGTAGTATTATAGTATTTAGTAGTAGGTACTTATAAGTGAATAAAATTACACAAAACATTCTCCAAGCAGCAGTTAAGCAATTCTTAAAGTAGCAAATATGCCTGAGGCCTAATAATATATGTTTTGCTGTCTGGAATTTAAGTTATCTGCATATGTAACTGTCATGTGTCACACATAAATCATGCTTTTCGCCGACACTCCCGTCTTTAAAGTTTTGTATAACAAAGTTAGAATACCGTATACAAATAGCCTACAGATATTTCATTGTTCTTTCACAAGAACCGTAGAACCGTTGCTTTCTAATGACGTGTGAGTTTTGTTGATGTGTGACTAAGTCTTTCATTTGTCACTTAGTATTTAAGTTCAAATATAAAGTTATTGCTTATGTTTATGTAAAACTGGTATTTTTTTATGTTTTAGGAGCGCAAACGATCTGACGTAGTACCTGATGGTAAGCAATCAGCGCCGCCCATGGATATCCGCAACAACTGAGGAGTTACGAGTGCGTTGCTGACCTTGAGACCGGAGATTAGGGATTTGGAGATTTAAGGATTGTAACCCTGTGGTTGTTTCACGTCGGTATTCTGTGAGGTTGTTTTATCTCTCCGGTCAAGCCGACCCATTCGTGCCGAAGCATGGATCTCCCATACTTCATAACAAAATGAAGACTCAATGTTGAAAGAATTAGGTTATGATATTGGTTTGGTATAACTACAAATCTAATTATATGTATAAATGCAGAGAGTTGTCGATATCTACAACTATACAAGTAATTGGATGTCGTTCAATCTTACCGAGCAACTCAATCTCATCGAACAAGAATTTATTTATGTGCTGCTTACTAAACACAGGCCGATGTAGGAATTTCTATAACCACATTCCAATTCAACCTACGCTAAGAAAAACGCGTTTCTACTTGCCTAGGTCCAGCCTAAGCCCACTTATCAGATGCCAGTTTTTGTAGCTAAAACGGGATCCTTACATAACGAGTATACAATTTAATTTATACATTCAGTTCCTAAAAATTAAAGACCATAAGATCTAATTTTGCTAAGAAATATTTTACATAGAAAGTTATTTTTAGATGTAGGTAAATTAATATAGGAAGACGCTACGTGTACTTTTACGAAAATATTAGGTAATCAACAATTAAGAATAGAATTTCTGATTATTATTAAAATATAGCAATAAAGTTATTCAGCATTTATTAAATAAGAGTGAAAAAAGCGTTGTTAATGTGAATAGGTACCTATGTGCTAGATCACCTGGGTCCTTTCTCCTCTGCATCCTGCTCCGAATCCAAAGGTGGCAGTAACTGCCTTCCATGTAGCAGTAGGCTGACTGCCTTACTACTTGTCGACCGCATATTGCACGTCGTAAACAGTGCCTGTGGAAGAAATTCATTTTCAACCAAAGGTTTTCTAATAAAAACAATTAAAGCACATTAATTTGTGTTGTGTTTTGTTCATTTGTATAGAGATTTATAACTAAATATGAGGTAAAAGTGGGTTAATGAGATAATTCCAACCATGTGGAATCCAACCTTATCTTGGTATTAAATATAATTTAAATTTTTCATCATAATGTACAATTAAGCATGTCTATCCGTGTCTGGAAGATCGGTGATCAAAGTCGACTGAAGACGTCACAAACACTACATCGAGTAAGTATAGTTTGAAAGCAGATTAGCATGGATAGAAAATCAGAGTAATACTCGATAGGCATTATCATCTCGCCTGGTCGGAATAGCCTCCTTTTCCTATCTAAGGGAACTTTTCTCTCTGTTCCCTAGGTATACATATGTAGGTGTAACGTGTAAGTATTATTTTCTTAGTGAATGTACCAGTTTTATTTGTAACTAATTATAGTATGATTTTTAAACTGAATAATATTCTGATGTAATGGACTGAGACTCCGATAAAGCTAACGACTGAAGTATAATAATGGTGAATGACACTTCAAAATTTTTCATAAATCGACAACATTTGCATGAGGGCTCAGATGAGAAAGTTATCAAACTCTTCGGGTTCGAAAATTCGTAATGAACGTAATGTTCGATTGTATATGTACACAGAAGAATGATTGATAGCTTTATATGGACTTTGGGGGCACAGTAACCATCCATCGATATTTCGTTACCCTAAAAACGATTGATCAACAACACCATTATTTTTCCTTGAAAATGTTATGTCAAAAATGCAATTTGTATTTGAGTATTTCTTACAATTTGAACAATGACTCAAAATATCTGTTTGAAATATATATAGAATTCACTTAAAAATATTTCGAGGGATTTGCGAGATATTTTACCCTAAATTACAGTAATAAATTTTTAGCCGGTTCAGACTTTTTTGTTCGGGAATGTAGGAATGACTCTTCTTATACAATATTATCTATTTAATCATTAAATTGAGTACAGTGAAATCTAAACGTGAACCAAGCTTATTTCCCAGAAGTTGTCAGTAGAACAAGGTAAGCAAATACATCATGTATGACGCTGTGATTTAGTGATGTACCTAAAAGGCTTTATTTATAGAAAATCTTTATATTATATACATATATACAAATGAATCACAAAATGTGTTGGTAAGCGCATAACTCAACATTTCCTGGACCAATTCTGCCGATTCTTTTTTTGTTGTGTTTGTTATTTTTAGAAGAAGGTTCTTATGTAAGAAAATTTAAATAAAGTAGAGGGACAAGCTCGAAAACGGAGTTTCGGACGGAGCGAGATAGTCGGACCCGTGCAAAGCAGGGGCGGGTAGCTAGTACATACATAAAAATACTTAGGTACAATAAAAAACAAAACAAGTTAGCTAGACACGCATGGCAAAACGGCCTGATAGGTAAATAAAAGCATTTATAGATATATTATAAATTAAAAGAATCGGTACCTAAGTTAATTATATCTAGATTAATGATATTCTCATTTGATTCACATATAAATACAAGTCACAATCTTCCTCGATTGTTTACGAAATTTAATAAACATTGCCGTGTCCATGCCCCGAGATGATTAATGTTGATCCATAACGAGAGTGTCAGTTTACGTAAATTAACGAATTCTTGCTAGGTAAGGAGAGTTAAGAAACTTGATTGGTTTATTTTCATCATTATTATTAAACATAACTTAATAATATTTATAAATAATTATTATTTAATATTTATATTGATTTTTAAGGTATATGATGGTAACCAATCAGCCTCGTCCATGAACACCCACTACACTAAAGGAATTGCGAGTGGGTTGCCAGCCTTTTAGGATAGGTAATGGTTTCGGATATTTACGGATTGGGAATGGATAAGGGCCGAGGAGGAGGGTTTGGGCTTCCGGTAACCTCACTCTCATGGCGAAACACAACGCTGTGAGTTGTTTCACGCCGGTTTTCTGTGAGGCCGTGGTATCACTCCGGTCGAGCCGACCCATTCGTGCCGAAGCTTGGCTCTCCCACACTTAATATATCTCTATATCGTGAAATATATACGCCACACTCAGACCCGAAACAACAATTTGTAAACCACACCAGCCCAGGCATGATGGGCATCCTGGGCTGGTGTTGCTGAGCCACCGCGTCCACTGTGTATTTTGGATAATAATAAATATCCTTTTTTGGAAATACTTCTCCAACAAAATACATTCATTGCATAAGTTGCCAAAACAAAATGTTATAGGTACCCTAATATGTGCATCTGCCTCTGCTCAAGACTACGCAAATTTATATTCTTAATATAAATTAAATATTTTGAAAACCATTACATTCAGCCTTCGTTTTGTCAGTGCTTTAAACTTCAAATACCTATTCCAATTAATTTTATTGAAGGATTTTTCGTAATATGAGTAAAATATAATTTAAACATACGAAAATTGTCGCTCGAAAAACCAATCAGTGCAGTAATACTGGCTCGAATATTATTACCGCATTGAATAAGTTCACTGACTGACAAATTTACATAAATTATTTTGGCATCTTTATTTCTGTAGTTTAACGTCTATAGATATACCTCTAGGGGTATATGTATATAAAAATATTGCTGTTCGTTTGTCAGCAAAACTCAAAAACAGCTAAAGCGATATATGACATTTGTCAAGAAACTAAATTGTCAACTAGTTTCTTTAAATTACCTAGTCAGATAATAATAATAAAAATAATTCACACAGTCACCAATACATAATTAATTAAGTCTAATAAGTACCTAAATGAGAATCACTTGCACAGATAGGTACGTAGTACCCATGAGTGCGATAACTAGGACGCTAGAATTAACCTCGTTTTCCAATTTAAGACTCATTTTTTATCAACTCCCTTTTCCTATACACGAGTCACTAGCCATTAGGCCTTTGTACCAACCTACGAACTTTTCAAACACAGATTAATTTAAATTTATAACCTAAATGAATGCGTTATAATAGAAGCTGATAAAGTTTCTAAGCAAAAACTGAGCAGCAAAAGGTTTTTATGAATACCTACATACATAGGTAGAAAACTGTCCTAACTAATATTATAAATGAAAAAATATGGATAACTATTTGTTAGGTTTTCACTCATAAACTACTTGAAAAATCTTCATTAGGCTATGTAGTACATGTATTGTTGGAAGAACTAAAAGACGTGAAACTGTGAAACTGATTTATAAAGAGTAACCATGGAGTTTCTTGCTTGTTCTTCTCCATTAGAATGTACACTTAAGAACGACCAAATATTAACATATAAATAATAATAAAATATATAAATATAATTATATTCACTAAGAGGACTGACCGGCAGGCTGATTTTTTTTATCATTAAGGGTCTAATTGAAATAAATGATATTGACATTGGCATTGACGATCTATTAACAAAAAGGGAGCGAAACCGCGGGTATGTGCTGGTTATGCTATAAAAGATATTTAGTTCAGCCTTTTGAAAATCACGTGAATGGAAAATTAATCTTCAAAATATAAACTTTGTATGTGCTCCACATTATGTATATAAATATTCAACATTGCAAATATGTTCCTATTTATAAGTTACGTTAATTAACAAAACTTGCTTCGTTAATATAAATGAATATAGGATGTAGTTTACTTCGCGAAATCTATAATCTGTAGATACACATAACAGAAAGAGGAAATATGAAATTGTTTGTTTTTTATACCGATTATAAAATATCTTTCACTGTTGGGATGCTACACTACCCCCGGTGAACATAAGGATATAAAATACGCGACTAAAACTGAGGAGCAAAGCGATTTATGATTACACTTATATTTTTAAAACCAAAGTCGAACCCTTTTTTTTACAGTTTGAACAGTTCCTTAATCAGTTTGTACACTTATAACTCAGTGGCTTTAAAAAGAATTTTTATTTTTTACTATGCTTTGTAAAAATATAATGAAGTTTTTTATTTATATTAATACATTGCTTCATTACTTATGTTTTATATATACTCACAAGCTTTGTCCCAACAACAAAAACTCAATATAAAGTTGACTTCATTATTATAGGAAGCACAGATAATATTTAAAAAATGTATATTTTTTCTGTAAGTAAGAAGTTAATAAACTTACATAGGTACGAGTATAATACCTTTTTTAATAAGAATTAAAACAGATTACGACATAAGTGCCAGCATTAATAAAAAAACGGAAAAGAATAGACAATTCCGCGAATGTAAATTATATTTAGAATGATATAAAAGAAAATTGATATTTATGAGCTCGTACGTAGTCTTGGATTCAAGTGTTGTATTTGGAAATAATCTCTCTCAGTTACGACGCCATTTTATAACTGACAAGGAATGTGTGGACTCCATATGAGTATATTTTTACCTCCTGGAAGTATAGATGCTGATTCTAAGTCAAGAGCATAAACTTAATAGGATCAAACTCCAACGCAAAAGGTATTGACCCAGATAGGTATCACTACAACTTATATAATGAAAAATTAATTGATCGTTTATATGTATGCTCATGGTAAAATAGGAAATCTGAGTATGAAGATAAAAAACCTAAAAGACACAAGAAATAACAAATATGCTTTAATATTTTTACTGTTTCACGCTAAAACTACGGAATGTTTTTTAGTGAAAATTATATATATACATAAGCTACATTCATCTCGGAGCTAATAAAAATATATCCCTCTATATAGATTTTAAGTTTCAGCGTATTTCAGCCACAACGTATTAATCCAGTCCAAAGTAAATTTGATCTAATGGAATTAGAAATTCTCGTGAATTGTGAAGGTTATTCCCGGCTTCATACATACGAGATAAAAATACGTGACTTGCTACAACAAACTGTTGGCAAAGGCGTTGCACTTTCTATGCACTGCAATCTCTGGCCTTAAATATTGATAGTACGTAGGTGGGTGAAGAAGAATATCTCTAGAAGAAAAATGGAAAGAATAAGGGCTTGTTTCACATCTGAATAGCCGGTACGTACCAGACAAATTTGAATATAGAATGCAATTTTTATGAACTACGTGGTTCATAAATTTGTGGTGAACTTGTGTACATCAAGGTAGTGCAACACTTACACCCGGTTTCCGAAAGGCCGATCAATGTCAAAATCAATTTAATCTCTTGTCAAGTCATCTGATTGGTCGACTGAATTATCAACAACCAATCAGATGACTTGACAAGAGATTTAACGGGAGATTAGTTAATTTTAGCGTTGACAAGCCTTTTAGAAACCGGGTGTTAGCCTTCTAAATATCATCGTAAAATCATGCTGCCTGTCTTTGGTAAAAAAATATGAGATTGTTAATGTGAAAGTAAATTACTGAGAGAAATTTCTTCATTTGTGATTGTTTATTGATCAAGCTAAGTGCTAAAGCACCCTTCGATCCAGAACGCTATCGACTCAGTCCTCGGAAATGGTCTAGGTAGTAGGTATAGATAGATGATATAAACTCTTTCTGATAATTTGAGCAGAACGTCTGTATCAACTTGTTCAGCCTTACAGCACAAAGGTACATAATGAAAAGCTATTAATAAATAAATATAAAAAAAAAATCTTATATAAGTATATCAAAAATTAATGAAAGAAGTGTTCTTTGTAAAATGTTTTCGAATCAATAAAATTTTGTGTGTGTATGTGAGGTTTGTGTAGGTACCTACAATTTATATTTAATTTCGTCTTACCTACGTCTGACGGTAGTACATTTTCTAGAACAAGCGCTCCACGAGCTCCACTGCGAGAATCCACGGAACCTCCTCTGCACATCCTCAGCCTTCAGCTGTCGTACTTGCTGCCAATTTATTATCGAACATACAACTCTAAACATTATCTTATCAATCAGCACATTCACCACCCACAACGGTACACGAGTTTCCTCAGTTATTCAGCAATACTTTATCAGCTAGATTTGTTTTTCATCGCGAACCAATTCAAACGGTGTAATGTTTGTTATATGTGTCTTTCATTACATTAAACAAACATGAAATATTATGTCCATTAAATTATCCTATGGGCTATTATACTACGGTACAGCCTTGTAAAATTATTTGAAGAGAAATTATGTGCGAAAAATTTAGGTATACATTGAAGGAAGTTGCAAAGGAAAAATCGTCGCGGTTTATTCCAGATTGCGGTTGTATAGTTTGTGACTGGATGCGGGCAAGTATGACTTATTGAGACAAACTCATTCATTTTCTGCCATTAATTAGGTGGGTTCTTTATGTGCACTATATCACTTACTATTGTAACATTTCTTTCTTTTAATGCTTCTGTCGGCGAACTTTCACGTGGGCGATGTTTTGTTTCTTTGCACCTGTCAAAAAAAGATATAAATAATATTATAAATATTCAAAATTGGAATTTATAAAAAGATTTGTTCTGTCGTAGTCGATGAAAATGTCTCTTATAGCTACGAGATAAAGTTGCGGGTGGGAAATACTTTCTCTAAAGTTTTTTTGAATATTTATTATCAAAACCAATTTTCCTTTAAACAAATCTAAGTAATAAAACAAATTGATTCGCAGAAAGATTCATAGTACAAATTCACAATGAAATTATTAGTAGTTACAATATCCATTTAAATGATCAAATTGGATTGCGTACGTCTTCTTAGACTACTATTAGTAAACAATACAAATGGTCGCCGTGGAATTTTGTGATGACTCATGTACTTTCATAGATTACCTCTTTGATTTGTACTATAACATTTATGCGATATACACGTCAGCCAGATATCAACATACCATTAGCTATAATAATTAAATTTCAAAGTTATCATTCAGTTTTAAAGTACAAAATCTTCTGGATAAGTCAACAGTTTGGGGTAGATTGATGTCTCGTCGTAACTTTATACATGCCTTCATAAGAAATATTCACAAAGGCTTTCAAATTGTTACGTTATGTGTTCCTTTACACGTGTAAATGTGAAATGTCTTCAATAAAATATTCAAAGATCACCTTGCGATTTCTATGCGAAGCGAGTCGCCGCATATATGACGACGCAAGCAGTGCCGTCGACGGGTCCTGTGCCCGTCCTGACACGGACTCCAACGACCCCACGAAGAATATGAAGACCCCTTTAAATGTGAACCTTAAATTGAAAGAACAATTTAGCAAAGGTTCCTCGTAACGAAAAATAAATCTTATTTCGATTGCTAATAGCTATGCTATGTTTGAATTAAGATCATAACTGTAAGCATTTTTTCAATAAATAACATTCGTTTAATCAATTGTGGTAAGGTACTAAAATAAGCAATTATAACATGTCTAATGAAACATGCGACAACCCTGGTGAATGTTTACAAAGAAATAAAGGAAATAAGTGTACCTTTGTTATGTTTGTCAAAATAACCTAAATCGTTATTGTCTTCGGAATAAATCATTTGGTCTTCATGTTGCGCTGTCACCTCGTTTTCAGTCTGTAACATTTTATAAGTTAGATACAATATATCAATATCGTAACAATACATAATAGTTGAGATTACAATCAGTTTACTACATGGATAACTAGGTCAATCCTTTTCAAAAGCCACAGAATCCCATACAGTCGCTGCAATCAACCAAGACATATATTTCAATTTGGCGGTGAGCCAGATATTTTTTGTGATCGAAAATGCATTGTCATCTCCAATAGTCATGGATCTAGAACTTTTCAAATCTACGGCTTTCATGTGCAATAATGCAACACAATGTGCATTTACTATTTGGTACAGCGGAAATTAATACTTCTTAAATATGTATAGAAATTAGTATTTATAGAGATTTTGAAACGAGGCTTTACCAGGTAATTTGTAACCACTATTGAATATTCTGAGGAACAACGGAATTAAATCGCCTAATACGTGAGGTAACTCACAATAATCTCTACGTGGGTACGTAATAGTTTCTGCGAATTTACGTCTGGATCGAGGAATTCGCAGTTTATTCAAATTTCGCACTACTTATATTTTTTTAATAATTATCTTTGGCTGTATCTTTTAAATACAGCCAAAGATAAGGCTTTCATTTTTTCTATTATTTTAAATAAATGTAGATAAATTGAGGTCTTATTACAAACTATTTTTGTGTTTTATTTCTGAATAAACTTTTACTTACTTGGTATCCTGTTAAAGTTTCGAAAATAATGAAGCTAAAAATGATGACAGGACATAGCCACTTCATATTCCTCAGTCCATGCAACTCGCAAACTCTCCATCAAAATTCGGCATCTGACGACAAAACAATGAAAAAATATAAAAACGTGAATTACGGTACACAATTTTGAATATCCATTTGTAATCGGGGTAACGCTACTGATTGCGAAATAATGGCTGCTGTTTTCCTGTTGATAAAGTTCAGAAAATATATACCTATATTCATTTTGGGGACAAATCCGGAATACGTGCCGTGTTGCTTTTGTTAACCTGACTACCCAAAATACCTTAGCTATGGATCTTTTATTAATAAGACATAAGTTAAAGCACGTGCAAATATTTCCCAGAAACACGAAACTTATATATAGTTGGCGCGGTCAGATACACGGCCTTTTCTACCTGTTCCGATATATTTTCTGCTCTAACTGATTTTTGTATCATAAAATAGTGACTGGCTGGTACAGCTACACATGCTTATCAAAAATAACATAACATTTCTGAATTCAGGTACCGTACTATGCTTATTTTTTGGCAATTTCAGTAAAATATTGAATTAGTGATGACACTCAAGTAATGACTAATAGATCTCTCAAATATTTTTTTCGTTTTCCCTAACATTATGTTACTTGAGACAATTAAATAATAACAATTTTATATTTCCTAATATTTTTTCCGTTTATTGTCTAGAAATAAACATTTAAAACCAACACAACCTTGCCTGCGACATTACACATAAAGGTTTTATTCTGCATAATAAAATAAATATACCTTTATACTTTTATAGGCCATTTGCCTAATTACCAAAAAAATGGATGCCAATTAACTTAGGTCGTTAAAGTATTACTTTATTTTCCTTCCTCAACTGTCGGTCATGTGTCTTGATTAAAAGTTACCAACAATCTATATGTATATGGTACACGTAAAGCGATCATCAATACACGTCCCCGGCAGCTCCACATTATTTTTTGTTGGATACAAAATCTTTGGCGTCATATCATGCATGGGTATTTTTTATACCCGTTCCAGTTAAAAGTACACCAACACTTCAAAGAAATTGGATATATGAGTAAAAAGGGATTGGTGGTTTATTTGAAGTTATTACAGACACGTCCATTAAAAAGTTGTAAAAAGGTACATCCTCAGCTATTTTTGAAGTAGTGGTTTAATCGTTGGTGTGTATTTAGAAGCGTGAAGGATTTAATCACCGCGCCGAGAAAAATGTAAATTTAAAAATAACAAAGCGCACAAAGTTATAAAACTTGTTCTCAGAATTAAGAATGAAATCGTGTAGTATTACTTGCTCTTGCTTTCGTTAAACCAACAAGACACCCGAAGATTATAAATCTTAACTTTTGACCATTCTTTGACAATTCTCGGCATAGTTAGTCTTCAAACTCAATGCCAAAGGACTATATCCCTTAAAACGATAAATACAACGTCGTTGTTTCAACTTAACAAACACAATTGCAATTAAATTGAGTAGACGAGGAAGACAGACGGTGAAACTTTGTTAAAGGGAGTACTTTGAATGCTAACGAAACAAATAAACTTTAGGGGAAATGCAGTGCTAACGGGGACATTAATGATTTAAAACAAAAGTTTTCATTTCACCATCGTATAGTTATTCTCACAAACGACATAAAAGAGTCATTTGCGGAGTTGTTTTCAACTGTTCCCGGAATAGTTTTTAGTGTATATATAAATTAAAAGAATTTCATAATTGTCTCAAGACGTTTCACTTGAAATAACAAAAATATTAAAGAAATAGGTTTAAAACAAATTAGAACTTTTAATTGGATTAAAATTTAATTCAAATTAAGAATTCTCGAATTATTCATAAAAATGAATTAATGAATTTAAAATAAATTATTGGCATACGGTATTCCGTGTCGGACAATGATAATAGACATTGGAAACAACCGGCCTGTAACAAATTTTTGTTATGAGCCTAAGCAAGTAATTCAGATTTTGTACTCAAAATGTAGCACACAAGAAGCTTCTTCCTTTTTTCGCTATAAACAAATTTCGCTATGGTTGTATTTTTCGAAGATAAACATTCCGTCCCGTTCAGAGCGTGGATCGCGCGATATTTTCTTTTTAAAACTTAATTGGCGTTGCAAATAAAACGGCCAACAAATGACGCTTGCAGTTCTAGTAACAAGAGTAAAAAGAACAAATGCGACAGCTATAAGTGCTTCTAACACAATCGTTTGCATTTAAATTTATGTCATGTAGATATGTTTGTGTCTACATTTTTACCGAACAAAATGTGTTTAATTTTTTACCAAGTTGTAAAGACATGATGATCACTGTTGCAGTTTCACTCAAGTTGGTTTTTTTGTGTTAGTAGTTATATAATAAGAATATTCAATATATTAAATGTAAGTACATAACATATTTTGAATCTACCTCATCATTCACTTCCCGTTACACAAAAACTCTAGCCGGCAGCTCACTTATACTGACAGTTAAAAAAAAACTTTAAACAGATGCCAAAAAATTCAACAAGTCATCGGGTCAGACAGGAGACGGATGAGGTCTAGACCAATAATTATCTCTATAGAATCCGCTTTTATGATATGTCTATCTTTGAAAACTTTGCTATGAGAATCCATGCATAACATACCAAATACGGTATAAAGATTTTGTCAGATTATGGCTTATTTACAAGTCCAACTACAATATTCTACCTAACGGTATTTCAGATGTAACTGGATAACTATATGTATCTATAGTATCTACACAGAGGTTGATACTACGATGTACAGTTGAATAATTTCTAACCCAATCTAGGTATCAAACTTAACAGTGCGTATCAAAGCTGGTTTCTAGAAATATCAAACGTAGTTTAGGAGAGAATTGCTCTTAGCAGTCGTATCATAATTACAGTGTTAATTACAAGTTAGGTAAACTATGCAGTTAAATGGGTAGACCATCAAAATGACTTCTCTATCCCAGGCGAGGCGAGAGTGTCAGACTCTTACTGACTAAAAACACTCTGTTTCTTCTCTTGTTCCAGGACAAGGCTGCGGTACCTTGTTATGCTTGCCCCGGAACCCTGGGTGAAAATCGGTCCTTTGGGTCCCACCTGTAAGGGTCTACTAGCTCTTTGAGCCGCGCGCGGAACGCTACGCACCGTACGTTTGGGTAAATGATATACATTTGGGCTCAGGTCCAGTACACGGAATACATGTTACTACATTTAAACACTTTAACTCTGCGAAAACAGAATTTTATTTCCATTTCAGCGTTCACATTTTCCTTAAGGTTTCTGCAGAATCATCAAAGACATAAAACACCAATTAATTAATTTTGTTACTTTTTGAAAGTGACACATTTCTTATTGGATATTGAGGCTTTTTGTTAGAATTATGACAACGTTAAGGGGAGGTCTTTGCTCAGCAATGGACGTCTTTTGGCCAACGGCGATGATTGAGTGTAACAAATAGGAATATACGAGTATCAATAACAATATAAGTTAATTCCAGATGATCGATGATGTTTCGAAAACCTGCAATACGAATCAAAATATTTAGCTGGTTGGATACATACAAGGGAGGGTTGGTAGACAGGAAAATAACTAATAACAAAATTTAACAAAGCTTGAAATAGCAGAGTTCTTTCAAAGCCCAAAACCGTTTTAGATTTTTCCATTTTATTATACAAACAAAGACGAAATGGCTTTAAACGTTCTTTCTGCATTTTTTCTACCGAAAAGAAATCAATTGATTCATGCAACAGTTTCTACATTCAAGTGTTTCTAACAGTTACGTGGAAATTTAATTTCCTGCGTAGTTCTAAAATGAAATAGTCGACCTATATATATAGGTATATACAATATTATATCTATTTAACAAACGTATAGAACTGCATGTTCTGTTCACTAAGTTTTCATTTGTTTTATGTGACACTTGATAAGACGGTGAACGACGACGGATTACCTGACGATAAGCAATCAGCGCCTCCCATGGGCTCGCGCAACAACAAAGGAGTTACGAGTTAGAGATGATGCTGATTAGGAATTTAGAGATTTTAGGATTAAGTAGAGATCAGGGGAGGAGAAACACACGGCGAAACACAACGGCTTTCTGTGATGCCGCGGATTCACTCCGGTCTAACCAACCCATTCATGCAAGCATAGTTGAATTTTGTTTAAATTTAAAGTTGTGGTGTCATTGCAAATATTTTGGTCCTACATAAGAGGGTTAATGATTATCTGTAAGTCGTAAAATACATTTTCAATTTCTACACGTCGAAATTCGAAATAAACAAACCGTCGAAAATGTTGCCATTTTATAATTCAATTATATGTAGATGCGGTTGTGTGTGTGTGAACTTTAAAAACTGCAATTAATTTTGTCAGTGTGTAAATTTCTAGAATCCTCCAGATAATAATTATTTATTTAGTTACGTAGAGGATAAAAGTACTTACATCTAAAATACTCTCTCTAATGGTTAATAGGCAATATGAACTTATTGCCACCTTTACGAAAACTTATTATTATCATCCTAGGTTTATGATCAGTTCACGAATCCTTGTCCGCTCTTTGTTTTCTTCGATTGTCTGGTCAAAGTGAAGTTTGAAAATCCATCTTATACTAGTTGGAGGTCTAGACAGTACTTTATCACAATACGTGTTGTGTCCGAGTATACTTAACAGCCACTCAGCAATGAACACTTGACCGAGTTATTCAGCGATAACTTCTTAAGGAATCGATCGAAGCTCTTCGCTATCAAACTAGCACCTATTATTATTATTCACTATGATTATTATGTAGGCAATAAACATAATAATATAAGTAAGAGATAAGAGGGAATAACTGTCAATAGAAATTTATGAATGAGCCAAAAAAGTGGTGAATTGTTATAATTTCTTAATTTTCTTTTACATTGCGAAGTAAAGAAATGAGACATGACTTTAAGAAAAGATGGGTTTTTGTGTTATGGATTATGTAGCCAAGAAGAAAACTAGGTATAGGAAAACGTGTAATAATGATGCTATAATTCAATATAAGCTTTACAATAATTGCACAGATACAACACTCACCAGATCTATTAGAAAGACGAAACATTGT